ACCTAATAGTGACTGTACGTGGTCTCTTTTTCAGGATGTACATCTCGTGTCAGACAAGGGATGGAGATATCTTCTCTCATGAAAACCCGGCAGCCCCGCCAGCTTTGCATGTTAACTGGAGGAAAATGCGATTTGGAGTTCAAGCAGATCTACTTCGCTGCCTGGAATCAAATCTGCTCGAAAACAATAGTGCACCTGTGGCCCAAGCAATAATTATTGATGGTGAAGCTGTGGTTCAAATGCTCAATCCTGAACATCAAGAACACTTCAAGAGTATGGAGAAAGAATGTTTGTCCCATACACCTTTGCTCAACTCGAGAAAAGCATCCGCATCGACCTTGACTAGGGTGTATACTTACCTGCTAGCCTGAAAACCTCAATAAGGCAGGAAAGGGGAAAGGGCACCAGGAAAAGGGTGGCTCCTTCTACTTTGCTGCCAAAAAGCTTGAAGGACTTCCTTCGAGTCAATGAGAACAAAACCGAATTGTTTGATTTCATGTCATGCGAAGTCGTTCATCTTCCTCTACCACAGGGCAAGGAACTGTATAATATGCAACAGATGGAAGTGGAGTACTCTGCTCTCCTGTTGAGTCACACTTAGCAGGCCTTGCCCCATGGGTGTAAAAGGGTAACCATAAGTACTGTTGGTACTGATGCGGTTGAACTGGCCGTGGCTTCATTCAGCAAGACAGCTCCTGATGATGGATCGCTTTTGGTGTCAGATCAAGCTTTCGGTACATAGCTTTTCACAAAATCATGATGGTCGCCACCATGAGTCCGACACGATGTATGCCTCTCCCAATCTTTCATGCGTTCACCGGGTGTCACACTGTTTCTGCATTCAGAGGAAAAACTTAGAAGTCTTTCCCAGAGGTGAATGATTCCTTCAGTGAACTCCTGTACATGTCTAGGGCGGTCAGTGAAGGATCAATGTTACTGCCAGAGCGATTTGTGGTGCTGATACGACCGAACCAGTGAGAGCATACCTAGTGAATGATGCCAGGAAACAGCTCTTCGCACAGAAGTCTAGAAACCTGGAGAACATTCATCCAACCCAGGCAGCACTCAAGCAGCACTTCAAGCGCACTTGCTACCAGGCCAACTGTTGGAACCAGATATTGGCCAAGAATCCAGAGATGCCAGAGCCATCTGACTTAGGCTGGACAAACGAAACTGGGTGGCAGCCTCTTTGGACCACTCTCCCGGAAGCATCAAAATTGTGCCATGAGTAATCCACTGTCGCTGCAAGAAAGGATGCACTAAATATTGTGCTCTTGTTCTGGAGACTGTTAGATTTTGATCGTTACCATTAGGATATTCATAAGTTGTGGACAGTGCTAAATACATGTGGATATCTATAGCTGTGGTAATGGACAGGTTTTAGGTCGTATTTGGAATAGCTTTTTTGCAAATTTTCGTGCTATAACTGTATCAGACTCATTTGGTTAGCAAGAAAACAAGGCGTCCACCTTGTGCGTTCACAATGAATGTGCATTGTTACAAAATTCATTTTCGTCCAGTAAGCAGCGTGAGGTTAATCTACTTTCGTGTGCTTACGGTTAGCAGTGCTATGAAGTAGAAACTCATACGTAAGCACAGAACCAGCCGATAAGCAGCTATATACAATTTTGCCCTGGATAATCAAAGTGGTGGTACACGGGTCTTTTTATTAATTTATAAAATAATGGCCCCTTAAGTGTCAAAATAGAGGCAAAGTTTATTAAAAAAAAAGAAAACATCACTTTTTTGACCTAATATGACCTTGAACTTGTCCTTATTGCAAATCCCTGAGTTTTGGCGATCTCTTAGTATTACGTAATGAATTGGCATCCCCAAGTTAGTTGGAAATAACACCTTAAACTTTTTTCTAGACGTTCACGTTTGTACATTAGACCATGCGGACTGGCTGCCATTTTGGATTTGACCTCTCAGGGTCATCAGAGGTCACATCAAACTGTGAAATAAACTAACTGAAAAGGATTAAGGTGGAGGACTCGGCAGGGGAACCATTCCTTAATAAATTTAAGAACATAGGGGAGAACAAATGACATATAATGGGGATTAAACCTTTTGTATCCATTCAAAACTTGCTATTTTTAGTCAATTTTGACCTTGACCTTGACCTAAATGCAACACCCTGAGTTCTGGCGATCTCGAAAGTATTACCACATGAATTGGCATCCCCAATTTAGTTGGAAATGACACCTTAAACGTATTTCTGGACTATTTGGTTCAAAAGTTACCGCGTTTGTACATTAGCCCATGCGGACTGGCGGCCATTTTGGATTTGACCTCTCAGGGTCATCAGAGGTCAAATCAAACTGTGAAATAAACTACCTGAAAAGAATTAAGGTGGTGGACTATGCAGGTGAACCATTCCTTAATAAATTTGAGAACAAATGACAAATAAATGAGATTTAACCTTTTGTAACTATTCAAAACTTGCTATTTTTAGTCAATTTTGACCTTGACCTTGACCTAAATGCAAAACCCTGAGTTCAGGTGATCTCAAAAGTATTACCAAATGAATTGGCATCCCCAAGTTAGTTGGAAATGACACCTTAAACGTTTTTCTGGTGTATTTGGTTCAAAAGTTAAGCGTGTTTGTACATTAGACCATGCGGACTAGCGGCCATTTTGGATTTGACCTCTCAGGGTCATCAGAGGTCAAATCTGACTTCCGTCCACATCTGAAAATAAATCTTATGGTGAAAGCAAATTATGCTGGAAGTTTCATGCTTTTCTCAAAAAGTGCACAATTTTCTTGCTAAGCCGCTGCACTACACAATGAAACAATACTATATGAAACAAAAGTGCAAAACAGCCGCACTAATTTGATGAACGTCAGAATGGCACCACGGTTAACATGATGGAATTGCCCTTATTAATATATTAAGGTGGAAGTCCACCCAGATAGAATGTTAGTTTTAATGGAAGCAGAAACAAATAAGAGAAACAGGTCAGTGAAAGTTTGAACTAAAACCAAGTAAAAATAAGAAATTATGAATGTTTGAAGGTGCGATCAATCAAGCGCAAATTGGCAACTCTGTGACGTATCTTGCGAGGCCCCTTTCCATTTGCCCTGTACTAAACAACTTCAACAAAACAACAATCATATTTTCCGTCAAGAAAATTCAAATCATACATTCACCTAAATATAATAATTGCAAATATGCTTTTATACGACTCCTGTATGAAGAAAAAAAATCATCAGTAACTAATATTTTTTTTAGAGGTGACATTTTCTATGCAGAGCAAATTGGAGAGGGGTTCGCAAGATAGGTCAAAGTGTTGCCGATTTGTGTTTTACTGATGACAACTTAAAAATGCATAACTTTCGTGTTTTCAATCGAATATTGCTCAAACTTTCACTAAATAATTTTTGTCCTCATTTTTCGGCTACTATTAAAATCCAATTTAAAATCAGGGTGGACTTCATTCCCCTTAAGCCCTATGCTCAGAGAACTAAACTATATACTCCAGCTTTACTACTTTTCCCACTATTACTACTACTACTACTTCTACTACTACTATACTGCTGAAGCTAGTTTTGGAGGTACGTATATCTTCATGATTACGTTGTCATTAAATAGAGGTAATACGTAAAACGTTATCATTGAGCAACAACTTTAAAAAAGGACGCTAACGACGATTCGTCGTTCAATTTTTTTTGGTATAAAATCGGGTGACCCTAACCCGTGACCCTTGTAAAAGACCCACCAATCTGTCGTAATCCAATTCATTATGCTCATTGATCTACATATTTCGTGGCAGGTTCCTTTGTTAGAACTGGTCAGAATTTATTTTGATTATACACCATAATCTTTGGAAAGGGTCATCTGTTTGGAGCCACAATGGCATTGATCCATATTACTTGACATGGGGTTTTCTTTTCTTGTTGTTATTTTGTTAACGCCCTTTTGTGACCCCACACAGACGACATGTTAAACGTGTCAGTTAATATCATGGATGAAGTATTAGCCGTGCATTGTTAACAATAAAACATGACCTGGGCTTTTTCTCTTACTACTTTTATATACCTTTTTAAAAGTATTTGTACAATTGTACAAACTACGACTTCCTTTGTTAATTATCTTGATTATTAATGAAGTGATATTAAAACAAAAGACATTACCATAGTAAAGACGAGCAGATTTATCTGTTTTTCCTCCCTCAAATTTGTCTTAAAGATGAAGTTGAGTTGTGGTCATGCGATTGCATTATGAAAGAAACGGTGTGGAACCGACCAGAAAAGGTTGATCATCTAGCATATAAGAATGTGTGTGTATTGCAAGGTTCTGGAATCATCAAAATGATAAGAAATTTGGCCAAGTCTTGGTAAAGTTACAAACACTTGCACAGAAAGATGTATATGGGACTACACGAACACGTGGCGTAAAAAGCCGGCCCCCGATTTTTACAATGTTACATGCATATTTAGAATATGAAGGCATTTGAAGAGCCATGCTTTTCAGGGAACATGTCTTAACTGATGTTCTTCCACACTTGCATAATAAGAATGAGTAATGCTCACAAATTATTTTTCAACTCTTCCCAGAACTCAACCTTCTCTTTAATTCTACAGTTTTGGTTTGCCCCGTACAGTTGATGAATACTTTCCAACGATGGGCCCTTTTTACTTTTCATCTTTTTCATCTTTTTCATCGTTTAGAACATGTTTTGCTATGATTGCTTCATTGTTTTCTATTGGGTAAACTACTCGCATTATAACAAAACATTACCTTGGTAAAGAGCGGCAGATACAGATGTTTTTGTCCAAATTAATATTACAGTTTTGTAGTTCTGGGGAGCCTAAAGAATTTTTTATTTTACTCTTTCGGACACTGTTCAGGTACAATCAAACATTGGCTTCTTGTAATAGCCACTTGAAATTCTATGTGGCTGTGTAATTACTTAGTCACATTTAATATTGATTAATGTCATTAACATAATTTATATACATGTATGTATTCCTGCTTATATCCCTTTCCCCCTCCTAGGTATCGCATTAGCAATGGGCTACATGACGTGTTGTGTGACGATGAATGACTACTTTGCCAACAGCTTCGTTATGGTAAATACTTTGACTGAGATTGGTAGCTCTGTGGGAATCCTCTTCATCCCTATCCTGATAGAGCGGTGCGAACGGGCGTACGGGTACTGCGGGGCTATGCTAATCTTCAGTGCCATCTTCCTACATCAGGTAGCCGGAAGTGCCACTCTAAGACCTCCACCTGAACAAAGCGGTACACTACCCAAGAAGATCGAGTGCTCGAAGGATATTGTATCACGGAGGAGTGGTCAGGTTGGTGCAGGAGCGGTGTCACCCTTTAAATCAACTCAAATCAAAATCAAACTCGGGGCTTGTGAAGGGGATACCGAAGCTGGAGATAAACAGGTAATTGATGAATTAAAGGCTACTGGAAATGGACAGTGTTCCTTGGGTGGAATACAGCAAATTAGGCACGAGAGATGTTTTGAAGGAAGGGACCCAAAACATGAGAACTCATTTTGTCTTCCAAGGACTTCAGAATTCAGCGACGATGATTGCATACACACGGATACGATTGAACAATGTCCACTTATAAGTGAAGAAATCGGACTAACCACCAACGGAACAGCCCAAGACAGTTGCCAAACCGAAAGAAAAGAATTTGACCAGCCCCACTCAATCACAGGATTCTTTGTGAACTGCATATTCATTCGGGAACCACTTTTTACTCTGGTTTTACCGGTGTATTTCCTCACTCATGTCGGTACATATGCCTGGATGCTCTATCTTATACCTCACGCAAAGTGGCAGGGCATCAGTAGCTCTAAGGCTGTCCTCTTGTCCACAATCGGAGGCGTCGGCGCGCTACTTGGGCGGATCTTCCTGACGGTTATACTCTACTTCGGCGTTGATCCCTTCGTCATCAGCTGTATCAGCAGCGCTGTAGCTTCGGCAACGTTCTTGATAGATCCTTGGGTCACTTCCTACCACTTCATGTGCATGACTGCGTTTCTGCAGGGTTGGACTTTGTTCATCAACACTACTATGCGGGCCTCAATGTGCAAGATAACGACCTCATCACAGAATTTTACTCTTGGATATGGGTACGCTGCGTTGTCATCTGGCATTGGAGGGTTAGCGGGCGGCTTTGCAGCAGGTAGAATGCAATTAACACGATAGGGGAGACTTTCGAAAAAAACCCACTTAAGGGTAATTTCTATACCCTGTTGAATATCCCATGCAAAACATATTGAAATTACGTCTGTGTAAATTGTGTTTTGTTGTTAGTTCACAGTTTTGAGTAGGTAATTATGGACAAGGCTGGTGAAATTGCTGTGGGTTGGTTTTTCGAAAGTTTCTCCGATCGTTTAATGTGTACATGTTATCATTATATCACCATGTGTGGCTTACTTTGAATCGTCGGGTCATCGTGTTCGGTCGGGTGGTTGCATTACACGACCTTTCGTGAAACGAAAGCAGGAGGTCACGCGACCTTTCGTAGAAGAGCCGTAGGTCTTTCAAAAAGTGTCGGGTAAAGCGGACAAGACTATTTTACAGATGAGAGGGGTTTATTTTACAAACATTACCCCCGACATTTCGTGAATAAAGGGGCCATGTTTTCTCAAAAGGTCGGATAACGCGACTACCCATCCAGACGCGATGACAAAATGATTTGAAGTAAGCAAGTTAGGTGTTGGCAAAACATGTTAGGGGAGGGGGGGGGCGGCGTTTTTGGGGGAGAACAATTTGGTATGTTAGCCATTTTGGTTTGAAAGGCTTGTGGCCCCTAATCTTTGTGATATCGTGTTTGTGATAATTATGCAGCTTTGACTGTTGACTGTTTTCATCCGAAGCCTATCAAGGCTTGAACTTACACAAACATATCCTTATGATGGCAATTATGATAATAACGATAACGGATTATATAGTGCATGATGTTAGACACCTCCATACTCTATAATGTGTCAAATTACTTGACCTGATGAAAGAAATCTTTACGGGCAATCGTAATTAAATACATGGGTTAAAAACGTCTAAAACAAATGAAAGATAATATAATCACTCACAATCAACATCCATTTCATTTCTTTTGTATATTTTCTCCAGGCTTTCGCTATGATGAAACGCAGTACATAACTTGTCTTATCGTTCCAAATCTATACTATTCTTTTCAAGTTCTATTTCATTTGTTTGAAAGGTAAACTTGTGGTCTCAATACAAATTGTCATGATTATAACTGATTTGATTTCACTTGTCTTTCTCCAGGTGCTCTCTACGACGCAACAGGATCATTCCAAACCGTATTTCTGTTTCTAGGAGGCATCCATGCACTCGTCGTTCTTAATCTCCTCGTGTATCTGCTAATCATTCATGTCACTGGAAATAAGAGCGAGGACATGGCTACCTAGCTTTTTCGTGTCTGACAATTCGTGTTTAATAAACAAGAACTCTGAACTTTATTGACATTGCTAGCCAATTTTCTCCAAACAAATCATGAACTTATGTAACTCTCCCAAGTAATAAAGCGAGAGAGAGAGAGAGAGAGAGAGAGAGAGAGAGAGAGGGGGGGGGGGGGGGGGAGAGGAGTAGGGTTGGGGAGAGGGAGGGAGATATATATAATTTGAGTGAATTAATGGCATTTTTTTTTGTGTCTTATATAACACAAAATATTAAACATTTACATGATATAGAATGTGTAAATAGAGTACTTATGATATTCTACATTGTACATTCCGGCCTTCTCCGTTAATTATGTTCTGACGCATGCGCACCTAATCTCGGAAGGCCCTCGGGCATGCGAACGTGCTCGCCTAGATGTGCCAAGTCCTTGTTTTTCTTTCTGGGGTCGTCTGCATGAATCAGTCGTTGCTAGGTCGGACAAGCCATGTGGCTTTTCCGGCCTGGCAGCGGCTGCCGTAAACTGATTCATGCAGGTGATACTGCGGGGGAGGCCTGGGGCATGGCGCAGGTGACTTGGGGCTCTCTGGGAGCAGACGTGCATGGAGTGGAATGCATGTTGGAAACTGTGGATTGTGTCTGGGCTACGGCCTACAGATCATTGTATATTACTGTATCATTATTGTTCATGTCTACTGCTTCGCTCGAGTGACCTCGATCAATGACTTCGTTTAATGACCTCAATATTTTAAAGTGACTATAATCGTGACATTTTTGTGGTAACTAATTAATTTGTTTGCTGTATTTGCTATTTTTTCACTTTGTATATCATCTTATGTTAAGGCTTTCTTGCCCACCTATTATTATTGTTACGTCCTTCACCATTGCCACTTCAATCAAATGTTAGTTTTATTTATAAGAACCTATAATCTACAAGCTGAGCTTTTCAATAGGTTCCTCACATTTCACCCTGTATAACCTTCTATTCAATGCAATTAATTTCGACGTCTTTTCAAAGAATTGATTATATAATGTGTCACTTTTAGTTTATTTCACATTATGTTCTAATTTTGCCAATTATTGTGAATTCTTTTTTGTGAAATGTGAAACAAAATAAAGTTGAAACTTGAAACTATGGTAATGGGATACCGCACAATATCAGAAAATGGCTAATGAAATTGTAACGCCATTAGGCTACATGAAAAAGTGATAATAGCAGGTAGGGTTATATAAAACATTGCTGAATGTGAAATAAAAAACAAGGTATTACATCCTGACATAAATTTGAGTAAGCCAATTGATCTATTAGAACACTGATATGGCTCTTGATCTGTAATTATCATGATTATTGACTATAACTTAATGTGTTAAATATCAAAATGTTAAAATAACATCCAGAAAAAAGAGCAAGTTCCCTGTCTAAACCACCCGATCCAGATATTTTATAAAACGCCTCTCTTTTTAGCACCTACTCTTACAACAACAAAAAACGTACATCATTGTTCTTTTTGTAAAATAAAGGGCACTACAGAAGTTTTTGGTACTGTTTTAGAAATGTAGCTGTGTTTTCGCAATACTAGGTTTTGGAAAAAAATGTTTGCCCTGTAGGACTACTGCCTCGGCAGATACGTACAAGAACAATTCTTTTCTCTCAGCCTCTTAAACTAGTTGAGATTTACACATAGGGCAATGTGTTCCGTAGTCTGTTTTTCTTTTTTAACCTTTGGTTTAAACAAAAAAAATTAAAATCGTAATTTTTGTCTGATACGATATACAAACTGACAATAAAAAAAATAATAAAACTACCCACCTGTCTTTCCTGTTAAGATTGTCTAGTTTACAGCTTCTTTTGATAAAGCCAACCATTTATTTTTAGTATGTGTTTTTTTTTTTGGGGGGGGGGGAGGAGGGGAATTATGTTATCACGCCTTCAAGTTTAGCTTCTGTTTCAATCCTTCTTCATGATTATGCCATATTAGTATTAAAATGTATGTTTTATACGTTGTTGATGTTTTTAATAGAATTTGTTTATTACCATGATTTACGTTGCAATTAATTTGTAACTTTCGAAATAGACCATGAAGAAAAAAGAAAAAAAATTAAAGATGAAAATTATGTTCTGCTCAAGATAAGGTAACACTCCGCATCCGCATACTAAACGAAATGAAAACATAAACAAAAACCTTGCTCCTCAAATTAAAATGATTTGAGTTTCATGTAGGCCTATTCAGTACAGAAACCTTTGATCTCGTTAACACAAGGACCAGTTTACGGATTTTTAACTTTAAATGTTTGTTTTTCAGGGCTTCTTTCACGGCTGACGGTAGAGGCCCAATATACTCAAGATAAAAAGGGGGCTCGTGAGAGGGTACAACTTTAGCAAGCACAAAGGACTATTGCCAATATACACATGCATCTATTTCACTATACCGGCATGGAAACTTAGAAGCATATATTATGTGTATATATACGGCTGTAGCGGAATGAGATTGAAACGATACTCCGGCCTTGCTAAAAAGCAGCTTTTAGCTGATGTTGGTCTTTTTTTAACTGTGTTAAATAGACAAACTCAAACGAACCGAATCTCATAGTCCTTGCATTTTCCGTATATGCTTGTATACTTTAATAATTATATATATTACCACATCAGTATGAATCCTACTATTCACGCGGGCCCTGAAATTATTATTAACCCACAAACTGCCAGGTACCCATTCACAATCCTGGGTTGAGAATGGAAAATGGGGATTAATGTTCTAAGAAAGGACAGGCATCTGGCTGGAGTTCAAACCGTCAACCCTAAGATTGAGAGTCACTGAGTGAATGAACCGCTATGCCATGGCACCTCCAATAGATTACTTTACGAAAACATATATATATATATATATATATATATATATATATATATTTATATGTAATTATATACACATCTACTTTTAGATTACCTTGTTCACTAGATTCATCTATGATGCTTTCAAGACCTCCCATTGACCAGCTATCTAGTTTAAAGATACTATGTCCCTTTTGCAACCAACATCAAATTCAGTAGAATTTTGCAGGTATTATGAAAACGCCATGTATGTCCTATCTGTGAAATGTAAACATTAGCTGTGTTCTAGTATTCAAATTATGCAAGGAAACCCGTTTACCCTCTATACTTCACCGTCAGACACTACTGAGTGACTGACTAACATTTTTTTATGGTAATAACATACATAAAAATTAGCTGTAACATGTTCATGAGCATTTGCACATCAAATGATCCATAACCCACTACTTGTAATAGCCAAAATTAAAATGATTGAATCGTTGAGCTGCACAAAACGTACGACCATTCGGTAAAAGGATATGAAAATCAGACTATTACTCAAGTGATTGCAATCACTTAAGTCGATTCGACAACTAATGGTCGTTGTTTTCCCACTAACAGCCATTTCCAAGTCCTTTCGTTTTGAGGGAAGTTCTAAATTAGTAATATCTTTCAAAGATAATTAATTTTTGTTGGCCTGCAAATGGGAGATATTACATTTAAAGTCTCATCTTGTCAAGGGATTCAATTATAGAGCATGAATTATAAAGCACGTTACATAAATATACAGGGCTCTAATACATACATATTGTAGCACTGTCAGACAAGACGAGGACAGGATCGCGTCGTCAATAATGCTGTTAACGAATTTTAAAACTTGAATATATTTTTGAACGGACATCCCCTTAGACCAAAAAACTATGGGACCAACAGCCAACGAGACGGATGGCTCTCAAGATCAATAATGCCAGTCTCGTGAACTCTCAATACATTTTTCAGAAGGCTTGCGATACTGAGATGTACGTCTTGTGTCGTCGTTTTTTTGTTTAGCTCTTAACCTTTGTCAACTTGTCCCTTCTTTGGCCCTCTTTTTAAGACCATCATAGCCTCTTCAATTTCCCCTCCTGTGCTACCCCTTTCTAATTTTGTCTTCTTCTAATTTCTGCTGTAATTTCTGCTGTAATTTCTAATTTCTGTTGTTGTTGTATAACTTCGCTGTACAAAGCCCAGTCCATTCAACACTTGCTGAAATGTAAATATCAAAATTTATAATTCTATATCTCCTGTCTATTTTGCGATCTCTTTCTCCCACTCTTCGCCACGTTATAATTTTCTCTCTTACTCCATGCATAAGCACATAATGACTACCCAATTTTGTACAAGGCCATTACTTCTTTGTTCCTAATGTTTGTTTGTGTAGTTGTTCGTAGATCCCTCAGGCATATCATGTCCATTTTCGTCTATACGTAGGTATTTTATTGTAAAGAGAAGAAGTCATGACCCTTTCGATAGGCTTTTCAAACTACTGAATTTTGAGTTTATGAGTTCAGACAGCAAGAGAGATATGGAGACAGACAGACTGGGCGAGAGAGAGAGAGAGAGAGAGAGAGAGGGGAGGGAAATAGAGAGACAAACAGACATAAAGGAAGGGAGAGAAGGCTTTCCAAACAATTTAACTTGGGTTTAGGGGTTGAACGAGCTAGAAGAGAGAGAGAGAGAGAGAGAGTGTGTGTGTGTGTGGGGGGGGGGGACAACAGAACAGTACACACGCATGAAGCTGTTTGTTGGATGGTGTAATTCACTCAAGGGGAGGTCTTTATTCATACTTTACGTAGCACCATCGCACGAGTTACTATATAGAATAAAAATAAAAACACAATCACCACTTAAATGCACAAAATGTTTAAAAACAAGAAATCCATATAATACACACTACACATTACCTCTCTAGATAATCTTACATTTCAACCTTTTTTCAAAGTTATGATACATTTACATGCCAAATGGGAATTGCATATTTTATATAACATCCCTGTTTCTAAGGTACAAACGTAAGAAATATCATAGTGTATACATCGACTTCGAAATGGTTATAATCATTTCTCTATAACGAAATAGCTGTTAAACTGTTTCCAAAGATAATGTGAGAGTATGCCAGTGTATGTGGCGGCTTCGATACCACTGGGTTATATCAAAATTGAGGATAAAGATATCTATATTATACAAAACTTGCTTTGGATCTAACTCTCATTTTAAAAATGAAAGAAGTTTAGAACAAATTTCGTGCTTAATATGGTAGATAAATACCTTAATATTCACATGAGTCCTCGAGTTAAGCAAGCTGTCGCGATGTCAATGTGTGTCAATGAGGAAAATTATACGAGCTTCAAAGGATAACACATCCATTCATATATAATAGATGAAATATATGTAATAACTTCCAGTAAGTATTTTAACGTGATGTATTGAATGTTGTTGACAATAGTTTGTTGCAAGACATGAAAAACAAGATGATTTGCGTTCTATTGTACGAAAGGAATATCCTAATATTTGGTGAAGGTTGTATTACCAGATTCTTGTAGACACTAAATACCAACCACAAAATAATAATATCAATAATGAATCATTAGGAATTAAACACATGGAGTGTTTCACAGTAAATTTTAAAAAAGTAATCGGTCCTAAATCAGCAATGTTGCTAGCATACCCAAAGAATACAGGCAAGAAATTTACCAAACCGAACATATATTATTTAGATTATACAATTACATTAGGAAATGTAACCGTTTTACGGCTGAGCCGCAACATGGACTTTATAACAAACTTTTAAGTGGTTATACGAAACACGTCAAATTTGTTTACTTCTGCGAAAAGACTATTGATGGATAAAAAAGGAAACAAAATGAATAGCAATCTGAACAAGAAGATTCAAGCTATTAACATATGTTTATACCTCTCTGACATTCTAAAGAAGACAATATGACAATGATGATACTTAACATCAGGATTTGAAAGATAAAGTGTAGTATACCCATACCTACATGCTACTTTGAATAAATTCTTTAAGATACATCCATCTATTTTTATGTCTTCAGTATTCTTATATACTACGCAGTACAGGTCCGAATCCAGCCTGTTGAGTACAAAATACATCAAACATGTCCACCAGGGATGCACACCCGCACACAAGCACCACGCACGCACACAAACACACGCACACATACCCATGCACACATACCCACCCACAGTACCATACATATAATACATCGTTTAAATATCTATGTATAATAAAAAGGTTAAACCTACAAGAGAAATCTACTGCTACCTTTGGTAAGCTAAAATACCTATAAAATCTGCCAACAATTGAAATGATTACTCGAAATAACTTGTCGTCTATTTTGCGCTTGCATTTTATCGTAGCTGTTCAAACAAACTTCTCACCCCACACTCTCGGGGAGAATTGACGTTCACATGAAATGATAGTTCGATCTTATTCATATCCACATAATTCATGTCAACATAAAATCTTTTTTCCTGTCTCATTTTGAGCGATTCCGTTTTTCTTTAACTCATAAAAGATAGATGGCTACTTGCATTCATTTTTAAAGCCCTTTTAAACTTGTTCTTTACTGTTGCATGGACCTGCTTTGTTAAATCAAAATCTACATAAGGCTATCAACTTATTTGATTAAACTAATTGTTTATAGATAGCTTTCCAAACTGAAAATCATTCAAAGTCTAAACTAAAGTCATTAAAATATCGATAACCCAGTAAAACAAAATTACATTCGCGTAATGGTGGTTATGACGTGTACAAACATTTCGACAAAAGCATTTTTAGAGTAATCAATATTCCCCAACATATTTCCAACACTCTAGAATGAAACATAATGTACCAAATAGCTGGATATATCTATATTTCTATATGTTTATGCAGGATGTGTTTAATAAACGAACATTTTTACCCCTCTTATTTATTATGGTAATGGAACCAAGTACTAAAACAAACTTAACATACCACGTTCTCTTTAATAACAAATCAAAAAGTTATTACAGCAAATATAAATACAGATTCTAAAAAAAAAATAGTATTTTATGATGATAACATTTTTACACGAATCCTATGTAGAAATAAGACTGGGAGAATGATAGTGTTCTACACTATGAAAAGGGAATCATAATAGTAGTGATTATTTTGTTACGACTGGGTATTGGTAACAGAATGCAACATCATTCTCAAAGCTTATCTACGTTTTCATAGAACATGTAGAGAATGCATCATTATCCATTAACTTTCTTCAGTTTGCCATAGGTTTGAAATCTGAAAACACCATCTACATAGTTTTTAAGAACCATTTGTTATATATTCAGATTGGTAAATACAGATGGTAGAGTAATAATTGTTCAAGATATATAATACAACTTTTATGATAACGACAATACTATGACAAATATATATATATATATATATATATGATATGCTATGATAAATTATTAGATATTATTCAGAGATATATATTGAATATAAAAAACATCGTATAAATTGGTAATATGTATTGTAACACGTAAAGGGAAGATCTCAGGTTTAATATCACACAATTACATCACCAAACTCGCAAAATGTACATCTAAATATACCATGTAATATTCAAGTAGTAGCATTCACAATTACGTCTAATGTCGTATCATATCAAACTATTATCATATTAAATATTTTTGATAATAATAATAATAATGAACGTTATTTGTATAGCGCATATCACTAACATAAAGAAAGTCCCTATGCGCTTAGAAAAGAAGTAAATAGAGATTGATCAAAATATCCATAAAAATAAGTTTTGGATAGAATGGTATTGGACCCGTCATCATGGTCATGGGATTATGTCAACCGATCAGTAGAAATCTACAAATTGACCATTTCGGAGATGTAAAAATGATCGCAACATATCCACGTCTTGTAAACATGAAGAATCCACTCTTCTGCATTTCAAATTAAAGATAAACTTGAGTTCTGGTAAAAAAAAAAAAAAAAAAATGAATTCTCATAGAATCAAACGAAACTTACACTGGATGTTCAAGAGTACATATAAATGTCATTTGCCAAACAATTATGGTAGAAAATGTATACTGGCTGAGTAATGAGCATAAAAAGATAAGGAAATCAAGGTTAGTAGCCCCGACACCATTTTTTTAGTCCCACATACATCATTCTGTGTAAAGTGCTTGTTACTTTACCAAGACTAGGTCAAATTTATTATGATTTTGATGACTCCAGAACCTTGCAATACACACCAATACTTACATGCTACATGATCAACTTTTTCTGATCCATTCCACACCTTTTCTTTCACAATGCAATCGCATGACCAGAACTCAACTTTATCTTTAAACACTGTCAAAGTAAATGAGGTGCTTCATAACAAAAACTTTGTTTTCCATCCTGAAACAGCACTTTCCCCTGTATACATAAATAGATAATGATGACATATCTTTAATGAACCCGTATTCAGCGTTCGTCTCCATGGGTTTTACAGTGTTTGTATATACAAGTGATCTCTTTCTGCCCATGCGCATTCTAAAGTGGATTCCTCTTAGAACAAACACGCTTAACTAAAATCCATGTCAAAACTCTCTTTTTAAATAAACATGCTCAAATTTAGTTCAGGTGAACAAACAGTCGTATCGATATATATATATATATATATATATATATATATATATAAACATATAGACCCTGATTTATAAGTAAATAAGTATCGTCATTTGTCAATATATACAAATGTTAGAGGGAAACCCCGAATAATGTTTCATACCCTACAAGCAAGTGCTAGTGTAGCTCTGAGCTCTCGCGATAACTTGGCATGGATTATTAGAAACGAGTTCTATGACGCTTCTGAAATGAATATCTATCTGACAATTTCGGTTTCGAAGTCGATACACATTCCCTAAGACGTGTACTGTAGCTTTTGACAGACCAAAGAGTTTGGGAGGGACTGTCGGAAGAATGAGGAAGTTAATAGTTATTTAAGTATTAAAGACTGCTGGTTTAACCATTATTGTATATCCTCTTATTTTACATCCAGCTTGAGGCCTGGAAAATACAAATTGGATATTAAATCACGTACATTGCGGTCACGTAGCAGATTGCTATAAATGCGTACTACGATTTACCGAGTTCGTTCCAAGCTTATATAGTACTGTGCAACGTCTACAAAACCCTTTCCCCCTCTACAGTATAACCTACCATCTATAAATGTACAAAGCCGACATCAAACGATAAAAGAGTTGATAAAAGAATGTATATAAACATAGATGGATTTGTATAAAAAGAGAACATGATATAATACGAAGAAGAAAAAGAAAATGTACAACCAGAGGGAGAAATGACTTTTCATTGTCATGATTATGAGAAAGCTAGTCATTTCTGTATATACATGTATGATGGAGATGATAAGAGCGATGGACTATTGTACTCATTTGAATTGAATAGAACTTCTATTACAGTTACGAATGAAAATGATAGAGGCTGTTCTCGTCTTACTACTTCATATTGTACGAAGTATTCTATAGAATGTATAAAGAATATATACAGAAAGTGTGATGCCATACTGGCCAAGATGGCAAGGTTGCTGGTTCCAAACAATTTGTTCGCGTGATGATCACACCAGCGCCAAACGCTCAATTTGCCCTGCCCCATCCCATTGGTTGGATAATTTGGCGGTAAACCTCATGCGCATGCTCTGTTGTTTAGAATCAGTAACCTGGGCGACGAGCGATTATGACTTTAGCACTTCGGTACTCTATTCACCTCTAAAAAAGGGGTCAACCCATTAAAAAGGAAAACACTGAAATACACATTTCTAAAGTAATGTTTATATATAAAGTCAGTATTGCATTAATACGCGTTGAGGATACTAACGGTGAAGTATCACACGATTATTGCTCTAGATGTTCCATTTTCAAAATCAATTAAAATAACACGATTACGACATAATAAAACCCAATTTTAAAAGGTTTGGATCATTATAATTTTTTTATCTGTTTTTCGATTTCGCAAATGCACATTAACCACGAATTCGGCATTTTAAACTGTTTCTATTTCTACTCATATAATAAAGATTCAGCAAATGTTATAGACAATATGACCATGCTGATCTACATTATCATTGTTGTAAGTCGATTTTTGTACGGCTTTCATAATCATGACTGGCACGTAAATGTATCCACCACCTTTAGTTGTTCTTATTTTTATTTTAGCGAAGTTTAGCAAATGAATGTGACACAATCTTTACACTCTTCCCAACCAAGAACTAAAAACGAGTTATTTGCTAGGAAGTCAAAGCTCGCCTAACCCAAATGAGTTCAGTTGGTTTTTGTCTTTGCACCAAAGAAAATTAGCAATAAAATATTTAACATTTATATACAAATTATGAGTTTTCAACCCACAGAACAATTACATACACTATTGTTTAGCAGCTAACTAGGGAGGGGGGTATAAAATGACAACCATGCCCCTTTATACTCCCACTATCCACAACTTTAAACTCCCACCATTCAAACCCGAACCACATGGGCAGTCCAACTACTGTGAAGCCGCGGAATCACTTTACGGAGCCCGATCAAAATGAACTCTACCACTTGACTTTGCTAAATAGCTCCCGTCAACAACGTATTTTTCCTGAATGCAATAGTCTCCACCGCTATTTCCCCCCTTATTTTCCAATTAAGGGGAAACAGATCGACCCGTGTGTCTACATATTTCCGTTTTTGTCGGCCCTGTGCACGATATAGCTAAGTCAAATCGAAACAATAGGACGAATTAAGACATTTAAGTATTGTAATAAGCTTTCAGACATCCGTTTCTTTGGCAGAATGTCCGTTAATTCTGTTTGGGCTGGTCGTGGTGTTGAGTGGCGGCCATGTTGGGTCAGAGTTCAACTGCTGAATCAGGATCTCGTGTTTTACCACCTTCTTTCCTTTGCGCCATTGACGGCACGTGGCATGGTTCTGGACGAAGCGGGTATCAGCCAGGAAATTCTGTGTTCAAACGAGAAAATGATGGGATCAGTATTAAATCGGGCACAATATAATGGCATGTGCATTTAATATTCATGTATAAATAATTATTCAGTAAATCAAATGGTATGGCATTTAGGGGGACGAGTCAGCGTCCCTAAACAATCTTTTAACCCAAAAGCACTTTGTGTAACGGAGAGGTATTAATTGGGAGAAGAAGCAGGCGGAAAAGGGAAGCATAAAGGGAGAAGGAGGGATAGAGAGGGAGAGGAGAGAGAGAGAGAGAGAAAGAGAGAGAGAGAGAGAGGGGGGTGGGGAGGGAGTTATTAGAGGGGGAATGGTTGTATGGAGTAAGATGTATAATCCTTAATTTCCAATTGTTTGTTCATAACATTTCATTGGAACTTAATGTTTTTATTTCTTCCCTGATCTTTCCATGATGTAGCGTTATAATTGAAACTGACTCCATCCTTTTGGCTTAATGAAATTCTTTGATTTTCTGACTTGAGTGACATTTCCCCTTTTCCCTGACTTTGCTCCGACTGAAAAACATGGTAAAGAACAACATTGGGTTCTTCTCTGATTTCCCGCAAAGTTTGGAACATTGCACAACCCACCCATCTACAATTATTATTCTGATACTACCCGTCTTCTTCGGTTAAGAAATCATAATAATAATAATAATAATAATAATAACAATGAAAAGAAATACAGTGTTTTGTTACCTCAATGAGCACAGCTGCTAAGAAATGGGCCAATACCAAAGCAATTATGATACAGCTAAACAGCCAGTCGAATCGTTTTAGCTGCAGAAATAAAGGGTGAAAAAAAAGTTGTGTAAACATTTCAAATTTATATGTACATGATATCAACTGGCTAAAAAAAGTTTGCCGCATTTGAAAATTGAATTAAAAATGTCATTTGGAAGGGATTAAATCTTAGATTGTTAAGTTAAGTTCATATTGTTATTTGAAACTCATATTATGAAAATATGTGGTGACGTGAAAGCTCTAACACTCAGAGCTAAATATGTTTTGATGACTGATACACTTTAAAGGGGGTGTAGCATGGCGAATACTGGTTAACGCCATCTACGACTTCTTTTGGGCAACTGCACGTAAACGAATGTACTTGATTAACGTTCAGCGTGCGGTAGCGTTCGCGAAACAGACCGAGGTTCTCCTCACGCTTCGGTTTCGCGTATGTTGCACGCACGTGAATACCGCGGTCGCGTCGTCCGTAGTCGCCCCGGGTCAGGCCACGGGAAAGACACGTAGTCTCGTCATGCTACACCCCTTTAAAAGTAACGACTAGCGTTGGAACTTTGTGAAGTTATCTCTTACCAGGAAGTAATTATCCATTTTAGTGATCGGGCAAAGGACGAGGAAGAGAGAGAATCCACATAGTATCACCAAACTCGCAGAGTACAGATCTGTCGAAGAAAAATGAAAAGTAGTTTGGAAATATTACAATCATAACTGATCATGGATAGTTTAGGCTGTATCCAGATATATATTTGGATGTCACTTTTTAAATAATAATAACTGTTTCCTATAAGCACTTTACCACTTACAATCGACGAAAGCGCTAACATGATTGCTAATACCCCTATTTACTCTCCACTCCCTTGGGAGCATTCCGTTTACAAAATAGTCGCCTCTTTTTACGGGCGCGCACATGTGAATCCAAACACAATGACGTTCGCATTTTATCGGGTACACATTTAACAACTGGGTGGAGAGGAGCAATGTAGATGAAATGCATGTGTCAAAGACATTGTTACAGGTCCACAATTTGAACCCAAGACCTTTGCTTTCCCAGTCAAGTGATTAAACCACTGTACTTCAACACTTCTACTCATCTCAGTAACATAATGTGATTTGCCTAAGAGTCTATGTTTTTCTTCACATTCTGTAAAAGCGCAATGGGACTTTTGTTTTTAACGCTCCTAGATGATCAACATTATTATTGTTATTATTATCATTACTTTTATTACTGTCATGATTATTTTCATCATTATTATTTATTATTAATATATTATGGTTATTATTAATATTATTCATTATTACTATTATCATTATTATTTATTATTGGTTATTATTAATATTATTTATTATTACTATTATCATTATTATTATTATAATTATTATTATTATTATTATTATTATTGTTATTATTATTGTTATTATTATTTTTTATTATTATTATTATTATTATTATTATTACTATTATTATTATAATGATTAATGCTATTATTATTAGTTGTATTATTATCATTATTACTATTATTATTATAATTGTTATCGTTATTATTATATTCAGTGTAGTAAATGATTAAAAATATGTGCTTACAGTTGGTGTATATTGGCTTCCTGTAAGGGGGTCCCTTGGAGAAGATGAAAGCTACGACGATGTATTGAAAGTTTGAAACGAAGAATAACGTGGTTGCTTCGTAGGAGAGAGTATACACAATACCAGCGTCATCAGACTTCACATACGGCTCAAACCTGAGTGAAAAAAGTATGAAAGAATTTTTTTTAAAGCGACGATTTCTTTTTCATGGAACCATGTTAATTATTTTTGTACATAAAAATTGATCGGAGAGATCTTTATGCCTGACATCACAAATGGCTAGGCTTCTTTTGAACGATTGGAAGTGCGAATTGATGTTTTGATTTAAGCTGTTTTAAACAAACGAAAAAGACAAGCAGTTGGACACTTCGATTAATCTGTTGAGATAATTACTTGTACTATTGTTATTGTTATTTTGATCGCATGAAATAAAGTCGCCCTGTAATAATAATGATATTCACTTCTTGGTAAGCACACAATACGTTATGAATTAAAATAGTAATAATGCTTTCGGGGAGGTTACAATCGAGCTATTGCCCTCGGCCATACTCTGTGCGCTTCCAAAGAGCTTTGCAAACTATTACCCTAGATTTAGTTCAGACTGCATTTCAAGGAATCATCCTACCAGGTACCCATTTACCTCGCCTGGGTTGAGTGTGGCAAATGTAGATTAATGTCTTGCCAAAGGACATTAGTGCCGCGGCGGGACTCGAACCGCGGACCTGGTGATCCACATTCCGGTGACGTAGCCACTCGACCACGACACCTCTACCAATGGGGTAAAGAAAATTGTCTTACCATGGTTGTTGTTTAAGGACGAAGTAGGCGATGATTTGAACCATGAACTGGAGGAAGATGTGTATGAAGACGGAGAAGAGCATGGCTGGATCGGTCAGACTGTTTAGCGGTTTCTTGGTTGAAATCTTGGTATAGGCTCTGTTTCTGGCAACTACGTGGACACGAAAAGAGAAGGTATGAGTAAATATATAATTCAAAGTTTATGACGGGGGGAAAAAAAACCAACCCCCAGATTATTTTGGACACAAATTCAAAATGTCTGGATCGGTCAGACTGTTTAGCGGTTTCTTGGTTGAAATCTTGGTATAGGCTCTGTTTCTGGCAACTACGTGGACACGAAAAAACAAGGTATGAGTAAACATAAAATTCAAAGTTTCTGACAGGGGGAAAACCCAACCCCCAGTGGACACAAATTCAAAATGTCTCATTAAAAAAAAATCCAACAAAAACAATAGCGATCCAAAGATTTATAAATTGATAAACATGGGTTAAGCCAATCAAATATTACATTATCATTTTAAGAGTGATTATCCAAAAAATGTGACTTCTCTACGTTTATAAGATCAATACAATTTCTCAAAGTGCCAACTACGAACTGGTCTATGAGAACAGACACATTCTTACATATAATATTTGGGAATCAACTAAACTTTAAAAAAAATATTGTTTAAAAAAGAAGAAGACTTACTCAAGATAGCAACGACTGCAGTAATACCGATATCCCAGTACATAAACATGGCGTCGCTTGGAAATAACTCAATCTGTCAAAAAGGCACATTAAGAGAAACAAAAATATATTAATAGCATATCTATTTTTGAGTGACACACAGTCAACCGACACAAGTCCACGAAGCACACAAACAGACCACCGCAAGTGCGAAGACTTCAACGACATGTAAAGTTTGGAGCTATTCAAGTTTACTTAGGCCTGTGTCAACTTACTTTGAATTAACCATAGAACTGTATCTTCTATTCAATTCTTGTTTCATCATCTGATGTTATCTTGTAACTATGTTGAAAACCATGTATTCATTAAATCAGGTTAAAATTTGATTTAATTGCTTTTCATTTTTGTCTTTAACCTAAATTTATACCTCTATGCCCACGAATACATTGTATTTTTCAAATCGGCGCGGGGAGTGTCCATTTTGAAAGACATAGCACATTACAACTCTTAAGTATACTGATGATAATATTGAAATGTATACCGAATTGAGTATGATGATAGTAGCGAATTGGATCATGCTATAAAGAGCCATGTACTTGAACACACCGAATGATGTCACCAAAGCTGCTCGTCCCTCCCTTTGTTGAAATGAAAAAAAGAAAAAAGAAAAATATCATCAGTTAAAAAGAGAAAACAATTATGTAACATCGAAATACAGTGACAAGGGGGCAGCTGTACTAAAGTCAGTGTAATAATAGCACTTTCTTGGCGCCTTGAGTATTCCATGGGATGGATACGTGTGTAATGTAAATGTAGTTAATGTTGTTATTATTATTACCATTATTGATATTATTATCATATTTAATATTATCATTATACAAGTAATCAGGTAGTGTAGTGTTGGTTATTTTACCTGACTGCTAAGAAATCATAAATGCTTGTAAGTAAGCAACCAGAGGACCGACGGCTTTAGGTCCTCTCCGAGAGACCTGGTAATGAGGATTAATGCCTTACCAAAGAGCACTAGCGCATCACCTTGGTTTCGAACCCGGGTCGCCGGATTGCAAGACCAGTGCTTTACCGACTGAGCTATCGCGCCTCCGCATGACTATCGCATGTAAATATGAACATACTTGACGAGGTTTGGATTAATACCTTACCAAAGGACAGTGGCGCATCGCCTTGGTTTCGAACCCGGGTCGCCGGATTGCAAGACCAGTGCTCTACTGACTGAGCTATCGCGCCTCCTCATGACAATCGCATGTAGATATGAACTTACTTGATGAGAGTCGTAATGCATTTGATGTTCTGTTCGGAGGAGGTGAAAGGGGAGGCAACAGAAGCCTCAGCCTCGGACAAGGACACACCAGCGTGAGCGGTCTTCAGTGCTCCACAATCATTGGCACCGTCTCCACACATACCCACGTAGTACCTGCCAGAATAGTCCGATAACATAAACTTAATTAACAGCCGCTAATAAGAGAACACGTATTTGCATACCCATTTCCTTGTTAATTATATTTGATAATGTCACGATGAAAAAGACTATCGAAAAATCGACCCAAGGTAATTTTAGTAGCCTTCTCATCACTTTTTAAAATGTAGAATTATTATCTAATCTGACCATAATTTCTGTAAGATACACAATATGGAACTGCCCTTGAAATGATTGTTCGAAAGTCTGCGATCGTATTATGTAGTTTTTACAATAAAAGCGTGTAGCGAAATGTGAAATATTATATAAGAGTAAAAGCTGTTATGCAAAATTATATTTCATATATAAATGTTTTGGAAGAAAAATTACCGATTCCGTAGTTAGATATTTGACTCGCAAATGCAAGGAGGGGCACAGGGACACATACTCCCATCATGACAAGTCAATACATTCATTTTCTCATAACCGCACCTTCGTACAACTCACGATTACAAACAAAGACATTTAAGAATCCGTTTTCTTATTAACAGGGAAATCCGTCCCTGATCGTATTCCGTGTTCTGTTTCACTTACTCCAAATCCTGTAACTGCTCTACCAGTTGGGCCTTCTGATCAGGGGACATCCTCGCAAATACTGTTCCTTTAGCAGCAATCTGAAAATAAATTCAAAAACAATTGTCTAGCACAGACCTGGTCTAGCAGCTCCATGTTATCACCGGTGGTGTTATAGAGCACACAGCAGAATGAACCAATCGCATGTATTTTCACTGTAGCGATTATCATCTGTTTTTTTAGCAATTGCGAATTCTTTGATTCCACTACGACCCATTTTTTAAAACCTAATGCTATATTCAACCAAATGGATCTCAAAGTACCAAGGAAAAATCATGATTTGGGGGTATGATAAGCTTTTCATATGCAAAAAGGTCTGATCAGCCACAAATTGGGACTGATATGAAAAGTTCCATTTGCAGCGAGAACTTTTTTTAATAACATCATCAGGAAAGATTGTTAGTCATTTTTCTTTTTCTACTAAAGTAAAATCATGATTTGGGAATATGATAAGCTTTCCAGATGTGAAGAGCCCGGATCAGCCACAAACTGGGACTGATATAAATAGTTGCATTTGCAGAGGGAACTTTTTTTAAATAACATCATCAGGAAAGCATGTTAGTCATTTTTCTTGAGGATTTTTGGAGGGGAAGGGGCTTTCATGTCGATTCGCTCGATTGCCTAATCTCCATGGTTACCTTTGGAACCAGGTGAGGCACATGTTCCATGAGTACGGCGAAGGTCTTCCCGTCGAGCGCCAGATGATAGTTGCTGCTCAGGACCTCGTTACTGATCTCTTCTCCTTCCTCTATCGTCAGCGCGACATCGTCTTCCTCAACCTAGTAAGACATGGACGACAAGGTAATATTGCATGAAAACTTTACACCAACATGAGGACTAGGTGCAATACCAGGAAGATGAGGAAGGCTGCAGTATTTGGGTTTTGATTATGTTAATTACGGATTGTAAAGATGTCGAAGATCTTAAAGGTATTAAACAATTATAATTATTCAGAATGTGATAGATATGAATGTGTGTGTAATTGGGTTTTTACAGTCGTGAATCTCAGATATGATTAATTACGTCACTATCCGTAAGACGTGACTCAGTTTCGAACCGAGGTCGCCTGAGCCAGTTTGTAGGCGAAGACAGAGAGCTGACCTAGTGAACGTATTGCTAGACCATAGATATGAAGATTTGTATTGTTTTTTTATAAAGTTTTTTAGGTTTAAAAAAACATTAATGAGTTTAAAGCCCACTATGACTTGAACAGACTCGAGGAAATTATGATTCCATCTTACATTATCGTAAAACAGCTTTTAGCATCTGGTGCTCGGAAAACACCAGTATCTGATGATGTCGAACAGGCTTAACTTTCTTGTATATTGTCAAGGTTTTGTTTGTTTGTTTGTATGTTTAATTCTTTGTTTTGTTTACCCAATCAAAACGCTTACCTGTCCGTTCATCTTATGATGCATGGGTGTGGACGTTCTACTGGTATCACTAGGCTTCTGCACTGGTTTCCACGAAATTAGGGGCCCTTGATCTCCTTCAGGGGGCGTGGCTACTACTTCCACAACTTGTTGTGATTGGCCAATCATCCCACAAGCACGTGCCACGTGGATAGCTGTAAGCTTGTTGTCACCTAACAGATATAAGATGATTCGAAGGGCGTCAATTATACTTTTTCTTCAATAATTATGGTGCATAATTAAGGTCTGTTTTCGACGAAAACCTTTCAATCAACGACAGTTTGTCTAAAATATATCTAAGTTCTAACTTATCTTCCAAATGTCTTCACTAAAATACCAAAGGATTAATGCACAAAAGGGCTGTCAAAAAATGAAGGTTGGGATAAACAAATCTCTAGAATGACTTAAAATCGTATTAGTAATGCTAAGTCGATTGATTGTACATTTTGTTCGACCCAATATCCCAATATCCTATATTCCTTTGACATTGTAGAAAGCATTGTACAGAGACTATATAGTATGGATACCAGTATGTTTTACATGTAGAAAATGTTGCTCTGAATGTTTTGTTGTTGTTCCTTTTAGTGCAATGCAACTTTGAATTGTTCTATTACATTTTGAATTGAACAATACAGATAGCCTACTATCTTACTTATTATTGATTATCGTTTGGGACTTAGGGAGGGGGGGGGGGCAATGACACAAATTCAATAATTTGTTTTCCACAACATCAAGCAAAACATACATAGACAATGAAAGCATGGAAATATGATGATTAAATTAAAACAAATTTAAACAAAATGAGAACAAGAACGACAACCAATGCCTGGGGATCCTCCAAAAGGTATATCAATTTATGTTTAAGGACTTTTCTCAGTGGTTGTTGTTTAAGAAAATGTGATGCGTCCTCCCCCCCCCCCCCCCCCGAAGAAAATAAAGTAAATTAATAAAATATAGTAACAAAAAATGGCAAATTAAAATGATAACAAAAAAACTACAATTATATCAGCAGCTATGTTTGTCTTTAGGCATTGCTATGTTAGCACTTAACAAACAAAATAAGTATAATGTCTTCTAATCTTCAACATAACTCTTTTGTACGAGAAGAGAATGACGTTTTCAACACCTTCAGTTTACTACCTTTTTTCTAAATATTATACTTTCATTACTCTATGATGTAGAACTTACCTGTTACCATAACAGTTCTGATCCTAGCGTCTCTGAGCTGAGCAATCACTGGACTAGTCTCTGGTTTGATGGTGTTCTGCAAGATCAGGAGTCCTAGCATTTGAAGATCAATTTCGACCTCTTCTCTGAAATGGAAGAAGCCACAAGAAAATAAAGTTGGAACGTTTCAGCAGGAAATCAAATGCATACGTGGAATTGATGAGACCACGAGATCAATTTTTACTACTCCTTTGATTATGCTTATAGAGATCCCTCTCTGGTCAATTGATTATTATTTTTTGTTTGGGTCAATGATTACAAAACAAACGCAAGCAGAAAAGGAAAATTTGAATTTTCACAGACTATGTCCATTTTTTGGCCAACGCAGTGTTTGACAGACCAGAGTGCTTCAAGGAACTTCAGTATTGAAACCTTCTGACCAGCCTTGATTCTATATCTTCTGGGGGTGTTTCACAAATACTCAGATCGAATATAAGTTGTACTTAACTATTGCAGGCCATTCATGCTACTAGTTCCTTTAACCATTCCTGGCATTGGTTTCTCAAGGGACATATAAATCGTGGTCACACATCTACAGAATTTACATTTTTTGATAGTTCATTACTGAAGGAAAAAATATTATCAAAGATCATAATTGAGAGACCAATAGTGATAGCAACCAGTGGCATGAATGGCCTGCTATAGTTAAGTCCAACTTAAAGTCGATCTTAGTCTTTGTGAAACCCCCCCCCCCTGGACACTTCGAGATACTGAAATACAAACATCCTGCATCACCGGGCTTAGTAGGTTCTAATGAGCTAAACATTAATAAACCGTTTTCGTAATGTAATATAATTCAATGCAATCTTTGTTAAGTTTCATGTTACAAATTAATTGTTGCTAGTAAGGACATATAGCATGGCTTGTCCTACCTAGCAATTTGATTCAATTCCGAAAATGACCTAATGACATCTGACAAGGTCATATGAGAGGTGTGTCCTACCACCAATGGTATAATTTTGCTTACCTGTCAATTTTCTCAACATGTTCATAAGAGAATGAGGTGTGTAGAGGCTTCCAAGCCATGGCTAACACACGGAGCCCGTTCTGTGTGTGCTCTTTTAAGATCTCATGAAACTCCATGGGAACTGAAATGTCACAAATAAATAAAAACTTAAGTATTTTTTAAAATCGAAAGAGGAACATATGAGTGTATAATGATTTCCGGGCACCCATTTTCTAATTGAGGTAATTACATCTGCAACATCGCACCCTAAATTGATGTGGCAATTCTTTTTTCAATCGTTTTTTATTCTTGGAAAAGGTGTCTCTCTTTTTATTCTGGTTGGTTTGCAAAGTTGTATATAAAAAGTTCTTCGTTCACACAATAGCCACTGCCAACTGAACACCAGCACCAACACCAACACCAACACCAACACCAGCACCAACACCAGTACCAACACCAGCACCAACACCAGCACCAACACCAGCACCAACACCAGCACCAACACCAGCACCAACACCAGCACCGGCATTGGGGCAAATTGGTAACGTCGAATAGACATCGCATACACTATGGTATTCGATGTAAGATTAATTGTTTCAACACCAATATATAGCAACTTCCGAATTCTCCAGTAACATGGACGAGACTGACTGGAGACCAACAACAGAAACAAAAAACACTAAAAAGAACGTTACTCACAATAGCCAAGAATCGGTTGGTTTAGATCATAACAATAATGGCAATGGTCTCGGGAGCGCCTTTGATATACGCCTCATTGTACTGTTTGGTGTCTTTTGTCAGTGTAACCATGACGAGGCCGACAACAGTCCGGACACCACCACCACCAACAACAACAACAACAAATTCTCAAACAGGTAAATTGCACCTAATGTTCAGGAAGCGACCGGTTTAGAGACATTTTGGGGTCAGTATTTCGGTGTGTCAGACTGAGGTATAGCAGTGTCTTACCACCAGTACTCTGGACGCATATCCTCGCAATTGTCTCGGGGGCACCTTTGACATACTCCTCATTGTACTGTTTGGTGTCTTTTATCCATGTAACAACGACGTGGCCGACAACAAGTCGAATACCACCACCAGCAACAACAATTTCACAACAAAGTAAATTACACCCTGGGACTGGGGCCAGGAATCAGCCGGTTTTTTAGAAACGTTATGGAGTCGGTTTGGCGGCGTGACTGAGGTAGAACAGTGTCTTACCAGTACTCTGGTCGCATAGCGATGCAATTTTCTCGGGGGCACCTTTGACGTACACCTCCATGTGCTTGGTGTCCTTTGTTTGTGTAATCACACTCATTCTCTGAAGGTTGGACGAGAAGGGGAACTGACGAATGATGCCGATCTCGAACAGGTTCTCCTCCTGGGTCTGTCAGGGCAAGAGACAATTAGATAAATGACATTGCTTTTCATAAATACATTCTTTCCAAAATATTTAAACGGCCTGTAACAATAGATAACCTAGATAATTTGAAATGCTTGTTTGGACCCCAAAGCGCCAAAAAAATCTTTGGTTTTAAACAAAAATATCCTAAAGGAAATGATTTACAATTCTTGACAACATGGACCTAGACACAGTTATTTGTAACCCCCTTCTCTCCTTCTAGTGGAGCGCCTTTGCAACAGTTAGATAAGGTCTTCGTTCATTGGCACATGGAGCAAATCGGGATTAATTTGAGACACGTGTCTGCCAATAACTTGAACTGATTTTCAAATGATTCTAAAGTATCTTGTTCGTGCTTATGATCCCTACGGCAATCGTCTTATGCAGAATAAGAGATCAAATACATGAGTTCTGGATTATTTCAAAAGATTTCCTTCAGCTCCGATGGGTTTACGAATAGAAGGAATTGAAGTTGGAGAGTCCGGAGCATACTCACCGGTGAATTGGATCCAGATTCTGGCTGACTCATTTCCTCAATTGGTGTTTCGGAACCAAAGGACGGAGATCGGACGATGGTCGGCATGAAATAGCTGAAACCAAACGCTGGCTCGCCGTCAATAGGCTCACGGATGCTCTGAAAATAAAAGGATGATACAAAAAGAGGATAGAATGCATGATCTTGGCACGTTAACACGAGAAAGGTCCGACTATAATAAGATATTAATATTTTTTATAATCATATCAAGTTGGTATATTTATTACTAGCGCTTTAATCTGACAAAATTATCAAGGAAAAAGACCCTTTACATATCAAATAAATTGGACTCGCAGATTGCATGCTTGGTAAGGGGGGTAGGGAGGGGGGGGGGGGTGGTGGACAAGAATTGAGACCAACCAAGTAACCAAACGACAACCAACTGAATTAAGAAACAACCAACTTATCTATTTTGTCATGAACCAACTAACCTTTGAACACCAACTGATTAATTTATTCCAATGATTAATCATTCATTCATTCATTCCTTCAAGTCCATCGATGACATATTCAAAAGTGTTTCTGTAAACCTACCCATTTGATGGACTGGAACATCTGGACATCGAGCGGATCACCTCTTATTTGGTCATCAATGACAGTCAAAGAGTGGCAGGAAGCCATTCCAGCAACAAACGGTCCAAACGGGATCTTGCTCGCATCTTCCACAATTACAAAACTAAAAGATATAAGATAAATCAAAGGATTGTAAAGTTTTTTCGTTATATTCAAGACATTTCGATACATTCTTTATAGTCTACTTATTTGACTATATATTTCTGCTTGCCTACACAATAAATAGCTCCATAGATATTATGTACTTTTAAACAATGAATTATGCAATATTATGCATATTTTCCCCTGTTAATTGAATATTTAACAAATGAAAGTTGAAACATTTTGCATCTTAGCAATATGTGGTTGTGTCTGCACGAACGTGTACGAACGTCTGTAAGAGTGTGGTGAACTTTGGTGGACGTTGATATAACCAATAGCTTCGATGTTGAGCTCTTTTCAGATTTATACATTACAATGCATCAGAAGCCATAGACGGAAGACAACAAATATATTTTGCATATATCATGATTGGTTTAAGTGAGTAAAATGTTACATACCTGTCTGTTTTGACCGGTGAAACAGCTAACAGCTCCAGATGGTCCGCTGTGAGAGTACCCGTCTATATGCAAAGCAAATTATATTAGTAAATTGAGAGTCAGGAAAGTATGTTCGTTTCAGATCAAGTAATATGTGCTAACACCTTTTTTTAGCCGGTCACTGAAGAACAAATTTGAAAGTTTTGTAGCATAATTGATTTAGAGGTTAGTGCGTGTGTATGGTGGCCTTAAATTAAACTGCGTTTTTGTAGGTTTACATGGATACGTTTAGAATTATAACTTGTAAGTCAGAACAAAAAACCTATACCTCTTTGATACTTCTTCCATGAAACATATGTATCGGAGTGAGGATACTTTCATGTTTAAAATCTAGTCCAGTCCTTAGGCATATTCCTTTTTTTTTCTCTACTAATAATGACTTAGAGAGGCGACCGAATGGGTAATTCTCCAGTCACGAAACTGACACCAGACCAAAAACAGACCGAATAGCGGTCAAGAATCAATCGGTATTGGAACCGCTTGGGAAGTGGTTTGGCGGTTTGACTTAAGTACATTGGTTGATGCAATGTCTGACAAGCCTCTGGCAAGCCTTTGAGCCGTCGAGAACAACTTTTTTTAAAATAAATATGCATGAGATTAGTAAAACAAAGTAATTATGTGTTCTATCATTCCTCATCGGGCCAAAAAGGCGGATCCAAAATTGTGGATATCATGTGACGAGCAGTGGCGATTTTTCTATCTTCTTTTAAATCGGTACTCCTTTGACATTTGGGCACAGTCTTTGTTTTCGGAAAGTGGCATAGAGTTCTTGTTTATACTATCGCTTTATACTAATATGGTAATATGTTCTTTTCAGTAACTTCAATTTGGGCTGTTCCTCGAAACCGTAATAAGTATAACGTCTTGAACAATCCATGGCAACGTGGGTTATAGAATTAACACGCATTTCTATGGGATGTCCTATGACAGTTTCGAGAAACTGGCCACAGATAAACAAGTTGAATATTTAGGACATCATCAAATTGGCACCGTGACCACTGACCTTGTCAAAGCACACGACATCCATCATGCCCCCAAGGTTGATTCTCTGCGGGCTAATACAGAAGATACCCAGGTCTTTGAGCCGTTTCTGAGCGTAAACCAGCCCGATGGTGAGGGCGGCTGGAAGGGCCGGTGAGACGGCGATCGTAAAGATATCAAGGGCCTTCAGGACGATATCCGTTGTGTCCGCCTGATAGTGAGATACAAATGGAGTAAAAGTTTGATTTTTTTTCTTCAGAACTGATCATGCGGCACCCCGGTTGAAAAACGCTGTTCTAGGACACATAGGTGTACAGATTCATTTTCAAAAGGGCAAATTAAATTTATTCACGGAAAATCTCCATATATATATAAATATTTGGGAGGGATATTTTTCGTTCCAGATTGGCAAAGTGATATCTCCTGTGGATGTTTAAGGTCATTAGTGCAACGTGTATATGCTTACTACAATATTGCTTTTATTCGCTCCAATAAAATAACTCCATTTTTTTAAGTGGACGGCGAGGATGAGACTTACCTTGTTGATGACCTTGATGGTGATGATGTAGATGGCACCAACGAAAGCGAAGCAGGCGAGTACGGCTACGAAGCGGATGGCGTCTCGATGAAGCTTGAGGTTCATCGGCTTCGGGAAGAGGATCGAATGGACCAGGGCCCCTTTCGCAGTCGAGAACCCTGGATGCATACAGGTAAGTAAGTTTTGAACATGACATAATAATTTTTGTATTTGGCAAGACCAAGGTATGGAGTTACTTCGTGTTCCATGTGTAATTACAAAGTATGTTTGCAGCCAGTAGAATAAGATCGCGTGCTCCCTCTTGTAATTGAAAGAAAAAAAAAACAACATTCAGAAACATTCTTGGAAACAGTGGGATTTTAACCTCCTATCTTCTTCTTGCCGGGCAGCGACTCTAACCCCAGGCCATTACTGGTCCATGGCACAGTCGCGATGGACTGGAAACTGTTATAGTGAAGAAACTCGATGTTTCAGGTGTCGTTTTGCTGGATATTTACTCAGATCCAAGCTGTATTAGGGGTTGAAAATTAGTACGCTAAATCGAATGATAAACTAACAACTTGCAAATGGTCCATTACTTAATTACATAATATAGAGGACGTCTTTGATCTATAATTTAGTTCTCATATCAAAATACGAAAAACATTGTTGATACTCAACAAGAAACAGATACAAACAAAAAAAACAGACAAGGGACATTACCTGATTTGTTAACTAAATAAATGTGACACAGTGAGATATCAGTCTAGACTCTGAAAGTATCTTTCTATTTATGATATTCTGTGTAAGAAACGAAGAATTGGAGCTTCTGGTTGTGCCAAGGACGGAAACGTTTTTTGCGTTGAGAAAGATCCTTTGCCAACGTTCCATCTGTTCGTTAAACTCTCTTCCTGAGTTTGAAAAAATATATATTTGTTTAAATCCTTGTAATGTACTGCGGTTTGTATGTGTCCGTTATTATCCCTCCGTTATCATACTAAATATTGATGTGCCTTGATCGAAGACCTCCTGGATATTTTATCAATTTTAGTATCTCATCATTTCTTTATCTACCTGTATTGACCACTACAGCCATGACCTTCTTTTTGCCGATCCGCCTACTCTGCATGATGTGTGTACCGCAGAACAATGTGTGTCTCTTGTGTGTCTCAGAGCTGTAGAATTCAGGGGCGTCATCGCCGTCGGGTGTTCGATTAGGTAGAGGCGTCTTCGTTATAGGTGTAGACTCACCTACGAAAAAAAAGTAAAGTAGATAATTAGTTATGCTACCATCTTTGAAGGGGTTCTAGGACACCTACCCTCTGGACGTCCACCCCCGGATAACCACCCCAAGTCAATTACCCCCTATAGGACAACTACCCCTAGGGCAACCACACTCTAGGACGACTACCCCCCCCCCCCCCTCGGGACAACTACGCCCAGGCAACTACTCAAAGACAACTACCCCCTAGGACAACTACCCTCTAGAACAACTACCCCCGGACAACTACCCCCTAGGACATCTACCCCCGGACATCTTTCACCCGGACAATTACCCTCTAGACAAATATCTGTTACGACAACTATCCTCTAGGTGGAAGTTGTTTAAGGGAGTAGTTGTCTGGAGGGTAGTCGTCCTAGGGGGTAGTTGTCTATAGAGGGTAGTTGAATGGGGGTGGTTATCCAGGGATGGATGCCCAGAGGTAGATGTCCGGATACGCTTTGAAGTGGATGTCAAGGGAGCTATTGGTCCGTATTCTGCTGAAAATTAAGCGCAGTGTTGGAGCTCTGTCCGAAGCCAAGTTTAAGAAAGGAAGGTAGATTAAGCATGACATGTGTCGTAGAACCGTTGCCAGAAAGCTTGACATGGATACATACCGGTCAACATGCTCTCATTGACGATGCAATTTCCGCTGATGAGGACGGCATCACAGCTCATGAAACATCCCTGGCGAGGCAGCTCTATGAGGTCACCGGGAACAAGGTCCTTCTCATCCATCTCACGGCATACTGAAACGAAGAAGGAGGTGGAGAGAGTCGGTCGGTGAAAGATTATGTCATTTTGAGATGCGACTTGTACTAGAGTGTTTAAGTGTGATAAAATGAAGATGAGAGAGAGAGAGGGGAGGGGGGAATAAGTGACAAGAGAGATAGAAGAGAGAAGATGAGAGAGAGAGAGAGAGCTAAATAGTGTTTTTTTTAAATTTTATTTACTTGGTAAAGTGAGCATACGGAACAACAGAGGGTGAGAAAGAAAAGGAAAGATTAATTATCAGATCGGGTATACATATAAAGAAAGACTGAGATAAAGAGTGATAGTGAGAGAAAAGGGGGCGAAGAGAGAATGGTCGAGAATGTATACATCTGAACTGGGAGTTCTAAATAGTTTACAATTAAGAAGAACAAAATACAAGATAAAAAAAAGGAGAGGATGTAAGAAAAGGAGATTATCAGAGAGAGGGAGAGAGAGAGAGCGAGATATATATATGCATGGGTGTCGATCCCGGGGGGGATGGGGGGATATATCCCCCCCCCCAATATTTCAGGTGGGGGGATGGCCTGTACAATCATCCCCCCCAATAATTCACCATAAAATTATTTTTTTAAATGAAGAGAAAAATTAATGATGAGAGTCCGATGAGAGTAGTTAATTGTTATTACTCGCAAGATGACCATCAATATACACATTTTGCTATCTCATTTTCATAATACATACATTATATACGAAGTTAATAAGACAACCGTATATGAGACAAGAATAAATTGAATTCTCGCTCATACGGCTTCATCAGGAATTGATGAATTTATTCAATTTGTTCAATCAACAGCATATCATAGAAATGCAGTGCGCCAAATGCAAAGACGCAGCATCAAAAGCAACGAGCTAAATGTTAAGCGCGAAGCACAAAAGTAGCAATCTGCAATGCACATCAGACAATCCTGGACAGTGTAAACATAGATGAACTCTGTGACGATTTCGTGATGAGATCGGAGACAAAGAGAAAGATTTTCGGACATTAGTATGACTTATAAAATAGTTCACTAGTTGTTATGTTGTTTCCGTTCACCCTTTTTAAAATTCACGTCATTGTATCTTTATTTTTATTTTTTTCACTCATTTTATTTCCTGATATTTCCTAAAACATTTTTCATTTTTGGAGAAAGATTATTATGTCACAACTTATTTTCAGTTGGGAAACTGAATTCAGACAAGGATTAATATAGAGAACAGTACAATGAATCGTCTTCTTTCTCTAATAATTTAGCGAACAGGGCAAAGCTGTTAGGGGGGCAACTGAATTCAGACGTGGATTAAGAGTAATAATCAAATGAAACGTCAAAGTACACGATACAACTAATCGTCTTCTTTTACTAATAATTTAATAAAACGTGAAAGCTTCCGCGCTACGCGCGGAATGGGCGAAAGTGAATACAGACAAGGATAAAGAGTAATAATTTATTGAAACATTAAAGCTTCCGCGCTTCGCGCGGTAGGGGGGAAACTGAATTCATGAAGGACACGATACAACAAATCGTCTTCTTTCTCTAATAATGTAATAAAATGTGAAAGCTTCCGCGCTTCGCGCAGGATTGGGTAAAAATGAATTCAGACAAGGATTAAGAGTCGAGAATGGTACATAGAATCGTCTTCTTTCTTTAATAATCTAATGAAACGTCAGAGCTTCCGCGCTACGCGCGGGGGAAGGGGAACTTGATTCAAACAAGGATTAAGAGTCGAGAATGGTACATCGAATCGTCTTCTTTCTTTAATAATCTAATGAAACGTCAGAGCTTCCGCGCTACGCGCGGGGGAAGGGGAGCTTGATTCAAACAAGGAATAAGAGTCGAGAATGGTACATAGAATCGTCTTCTTTCTTTAATAATCTAATGAAACGTCAGAGCTACCGCGCTACGCGCGGAGGAAGGAGAATTTAATTCAAACAAGGATTAAGAGTCGAGAACGGTCCAACGAATCGTCTTCTTTCTCTAATAATTTAGTGAAACGTCAAAGCTTCCTCGCTTTGCGGGGGGGGGGGGACTCCCCCTCCCTGCACCCAACCCCCTAGGAACCGCGCTTCGTGTGCTAACTACCGCCCCCCTTAAATTAAATCCTGGCTACGCGCTTGGGAGGGGTGCAACTTGCCACACGCTTCTACCACTTTGGTTGCTTTGATCCATTGCCGAAAATATTTTGGCACCTATCATCCCCCCCAACCACGGATACAAATCGACACCCTTGTATATATGAATATAGACAACCGAGAAAGAGAGAAAGAGAAGGGGGAAAAGGGGGGGGGGACGTGATAGTTGAGCTGTGAAGAGGTTTGTTTGTTATGGTATTGTTACATTGATCTTAGCTGTTAAAGGGTCAATAGAGATCAAATCACTCGGTTCGCCGTCATTTTGCCAGGGGCTAAAACACGATTTTGGCATTGTTACACAGGTTTGTACGTTCGGAATATTCATAGAGGTACAGACAGTCCCAAAGTAAACGAGACACCAAACAGCGAATATTGCTTTCTAGACCATAAATGCACCAATAATTAAACACTTTGACAAAGATGGACGATTCAAGAAAATCCACTAAATAGAAGTATTACTTCCTCTGAAAAATATTCCTTTGTCGAGTGGTTTGCGTCAGATGCAGTATCATTATGAGATCTAAACAAAATACCTTTTCTCCAATATATTTTCGTTATTTTTGTTTAAACATATATCATAGAATCTTTGGAAAAGGGGATTTTGATGACTGTTACTAAAGAAAATAATCAAAGTTAAATTTCCACACAATTTATGTGATATTCTTAAATTGCTGTAATAGAGTTGCACAACAACACTGATCATAAATATTCTCATTTTTCCAGTATCAGAAGTGTAAATATCATATTTTAGTTCATGTTCAATTCCAACTGTTTCATTAAAGTCCAGAACGCGGACATAACAAAGAATGTAAATGCGACCACAAATATCACAAAGATATGTACTGGAATCTCTTTGGGTTGACTTGTCGAAAGTATCTGCGATCGTGTCGAAGTGCTATATATCGTTTGTGTGTACCGGGAGGAAATACATTACAGCAATAGAGTAACTTATATATATAAATATACATATACATACTTACCATCACCTCCCCGAGATACCACTACGTTCGTACTAGAAGCTACCAGATTACGCAGTGATACGCTTTGCTAATAGCAACAACAAATAAAAACAAAAAATCGCATCGTATTAGTTCATTCTAAAAAAACATTTCATAATATGCACCTAAAGAAATTAAAACGTTTGCTTTATACAGTGAGACATTCATGAATGTTATAACATTATTTGATAAATCATCTAGAGTATTTAGGAGCATTAATGACAAATTTTCATGAATATGATGAAAGCATCTTTTCAGAAAAAAATAATACAAATGAAGAGATCGTTCATCGTCTCTTTGATAATGTCACGTAGACTGAAATACGATTTTAAATAGGGATGTTAAAAATCGTTCTGTACATGTATATTGACAATGCGATTCTATTACCGATCGTGTTAAGAATAGGCTTTATTCACAATGTATCTAGTCGTACGTCATCTTAGGACTCTCGATTGGCTAGACAGATGTCTGAGAACTATAGTACGAGCTTCCGACTTAAACCGAAGAAGAAAAAAAAAATCGGAGTTTGTGGGGATTTCAGTGGGTACCATATATTCCGTGGTTTGAACATCTTTCTAAACATCTGTCTTCACCTCAATTCTTAAGTGTATTCCCAGAATGTCAATTTGACACGCTAAATTGGGGTCAAGTTAGATGGGACAAATTGCTCGTTGATTCCGATCTTAATGGTGCATTCACATGACAACGCTATCCGATGCTGCGGCAATACGTGAACAAATTGTGTACTATTCACACTGGGAAGTTGATCTATCGTAGAGTGCAAAGACTCGGTTGCTGCGATGAAGCCGTTATTTATTATATGAATGAAGTGAACGCCCTCTAAAGACCAGATATAATCATTTCATTTCATCGTGATGAGTAATAAAATCAAAAGCTGAAATTGAAGCGCAAAGCACTCTAGAATTTCATCATTATGAAAGAGATACTGTGCGCGATACCGCTGTTTCTATAGGACATTAAAAAACTGAGGTTTGTTGATAACTTAAAGGAGAAAAACCATCTGGAAATCTTGAATAACTCATTAAAGGTTCCCCATAAAGACAGATATATTTTTCTGAGGGGCAGGAACAATACAAATGGAACTTTACAAATGCAAAATGCATGTGCTTATTTAAAGATATCGATTGTTTTTTTGAGGGATGGTTGGGAACATGCCAGCTGCATGTGAACAAAAAAACTTTAAAAATGATTACAATAATGGACAAAATGTCGAATGTGTCGACAAAGTATCTTACATGAGGGAAACTATTGTCCTAACCTGGTTTTGATCATAATGTATGAGGCTTTTTTTAAGGGGAAAAATGCGTTCGAAATATTCGACCTATAGAATGGCATGCTTGAATACGTATAGTGAATAGTATTGAGTAAAACAGTTGAAAGAAATGTTGACATAATCAACGTTTTTCTGACATATTTAAGTAACATTCATTCAATTCTAGGAAAAAGGAGAATGAATTTATGAAATTATGTTTCATACTCAAATCATGACCTACTTAGACCTTTTAATGTGTTTTCTTCATGATCCGATTCGCGCAAATTGGAGACAAGAGCACATTTATTCTGAACTATAGATCGCGAGTAGCAGAGGAAATGCCGACAATGTATATGGTGCCAATTTATTGGGGATAAGATCCGAAGTCATCTTGTTATTACAAAACAGTGTGGCGCCGGTGATAGTGAGTCAACTTACGACTGTTATTGCTCCATTAAATTCCAACAAGATTACAGCGCTTTTCATTTCGTTAAGCTTGCAATAAAATGTGCGCCTGTCGAAAAATAAAAAATGGAAATATTTTCGCGATGATATTTGTGTGAGCGTACAGGATAGAAACCCTAAAATAATAACACTTACGTCACGGGAGAGAGCCGTTAGACAATGATTTGATTCCCAGTAAATTGCGCTATTCGAAAGTTTATTCATATTTTGCGATGGTTTATCACAGTAGGCTGGAGGCATAGAGAAACAATTTCCAAAGGCAGTACAGTGCATTTCGTATTCGTGCCACTTTTAGATTGATTAAACTTCATGAGATGAATAAATACAATCCACTAAGAATATATCAGGCGGTACAAAAGAAGAATTACAGTTATTATGTTTATTTAAAATGTTAAATCTTGAAGAGAAAAGGGTACATTGGAAAAGTATTCCCATTACTATAGTTTGGCTTTTAGCAAAAGAGTGAAAAATAACGCATGATTCATACAGTATATAACCGCTTTTTCTTGTTTTCACCTAGTAGCCTTTTTTTAAATCCTGTAAAATTATTACACAGTACATTCCTAGTTCTTGAACTTGTCCATTTAAAGCTTAAGATGAGGGAATTCACACCGTTTCTTAATAATGGTCACATGTTTGTCATATATTTCTTCATTATTGTCACATTTGTGGCAAACTTTGAAGGCCAATTTGATAATGTAAACATTCGAGACACTCTCGAAGACATATTTTTTTAATCTTTTAGGGTTAATGTTTTTTCCTTAAAGTAAATTCGTTTCTTGTTTTTCATTGGATTCTTTTGAAATGGAGGAGGAGTGGTTCCACGTTAGTTGATATTTGATATGTTTCAATACATACAAACGACTTTGGGTCAGTTTTATCCTAAATTGTGTTTAATTCAATTTTGTATGTATGCAGTACAGAGGCTCAAAACAAGGCGAAATTATAATGTTGATTTTTGTTAACCCATTGTCTAAATATTCTCAGATTTTGACTTACCTCATCTCAAAAGCAAAAATATCAAATATTTTAAAAAGTAATTATGAACGAGGCGAGCCGAAAAAGGGACGGGGAGAGATCGAAAAACTAGTAAATCGTCCTTTTATTTTTCCTTTCATAGACTTTTAGACCAAGAGCTACACATTTCTTACCTTTCTTGTGCTATATACGGTGAGGGTGATGGAGATTAAAGACATCATGATAATGGCCACAGAGAAGTAGGTGTAACCATATCCAAAGATCCATAAACACACACTGTAGATTTGGAACACGTAGAACGGATTAAGAGCCTGGAAGAGATGAAAATCAAAGACAGTTAGAGACAAAATAAAGGGAGATACATTCTCTAAGAATGTTTTTAAATTTCTATTCCAATAAATTGTATCTGGAAGTACCACGGACTATAAACATTATTTACAGCTACCCCATGAGATAAGTACACCTGTAGAACTTCCCCTTATCCGTCTCTTAGAGGCCAGTTGTCCTAGGGTGGGGGTTAGGGTACCTCAATTTGTCGCGTATCAAACGAATTACCACAATATGTAAGCAATTTAAATATAATATATAAGTTAAACTATCAGGACCAAATTAGCAAGGTATAACAATTCTGATTTAAAGTGTGCGGAATTTTTTCTTTCACGGATGTGTTGTGAATGCCTTAAGTGTATTTCCAAAAAGAATACTTGTGAAAAACCACGATGACTGTTTTTATTGGTAAATATAAAGCATGAAAATCTGTAGGGAAAATATACGAAAGGAACGAACCAGCCCATGATGAAAGCTATATAGGTAATCAACCTTACTGAAAGTGATAGTGAAGTGTTATACAAATATTAACATAATTCCCTTGCCGATATTAATGGTGGCATGCGTCTTCATGGTGGCATGCGTCTTCATGGTCATCCTTTTATTCAGCGTCCAAAACAAAAGTAAATTGATCATGTTTTAAGTCTAAAGACCAAGGGACAAGTCAAATACAGCTTTGGGGTATATGTAATACCCCTACCTACGGATAGCTCGTCGAACGCTTACCTCTTGAAAGAACAGGACTGGAATGGGTCTGAGACCGATATGAATCTCGTTCCAACCATACATGTCCCGTCTGGTGAAGAAAAACAGATTTAAAAAAAGAATTTCACAGTAAATCTTGCTCTCGATAGCCGCCTAACATGCCTGGAACACTTTTTTTCTTCACTGACGACTGGAGATCATGGATTATAATACTAAGAGAACGTCAGGATTATTCTGAACGGAGATTATTATTATTATTGTTATCATCATTATTATAATATTTATTGTTATTATTATCATTATTTAATATTAATATTGATACTTTTGTCATCATCATTATTAATATTATTAGTATTGTTATTAATATTGTTATATTATTATTATTATTATTATCATCAACATCATTAGCATAATTATCATCATCATCATCGGTATCATTACAATTATTATCATCATTACTACCATACATACGTTCTCGACTGCTCCTTCGCACCTAGTCCCGTGTATTTGGTGTAGAAATCAGACGATGGGACATTATAATCCAAGCCTCTAGAATAAGGGACGAAAACGAAAAAAAAACCTCAGATCAAAGATCACATGAAGGTCAAAAACACTTCGAATAATTTTGAATTTATTTAAGGATTCGGAAAACGTTTTGCGTAAGTCACTCACTGATTGTTGCAAGTACATTAAACAAAAACAAAATCATTTTTATCGTATAAATGCTCTTGAAATAAATAGTGTTTTAACTTCTAACTTGATTTCTTCAAGAGGCTATCTTCGAGGAGATACACAAATTGGCCAATGGGGAAAATGCACAAAATAAGAAATTTTCGAAGATGATCTGCCCAAATGGACGAAAATACGAGTGAACGAATTAATCGTGACTTCTTTCACTTCAAAATGCACACTGCTAACTACCTTGTAATTTAGTTTCACTAGTTTTAAATACGTTTTAAATCCTTTGTAAATATCAAGTTCTTATTAGTTTTAATGACTAGATTACACCAAACTGCTTAGGTATCTGATTAGTATTTATGTATTTGTCGTTAGCCAATTTACCTGAGCTTGTGAAAAGTATTCCTGTTAAAGTCCCAGAGGTATTTCATCTTTTGAAACACGAAGTAACGTATTGTGTCGATGGTCGGCTGAAAATAGAGAAATAAAAACCAGCCTGACAACAGCTATAAAGTCTTACCTACAAACAAAAATTGATTAATTTTCCTCTTTTCTGAAATCCAAGTTGATATGCAAACTGTCGTCTCGATGTTTGTTCAATAACATCACACGTACTTTCGAGAAAAAAAGTCAATCACGATATGCATACCCTTCGGTCTTGCCTTAAGAAATCATGTTCTGATTACATAATATGTCATTGCACTGCTCGCAGATTGCAAGAGGCGACATACACAAGGCTACTGACAGTTGATTATCGAAAAGCTGTATGATCATTTTCCATTTTTGAACGATTTTGCTACTAGTATGCAGGAATCATCACTTTTGATGAGAAGAAGAAAAAAAAATGCACAGCGTGAATGTCATCTAGATCATGAGAATGCAAAGGTATTCAAGCAATTAAAAGACAAAAACAATATGTCATCCGTATCTAAACGTGATTTTACCATCATGATAATAAAAGTATTTTGGTCCTATTGATATTTAAACACATCCAGGTATATACAGAGTAAAATTATTGGAAAAATAAATGCCGAACATAAGGGTGATGAGGCCTATGTATGGGACCAATGTGTTATTGACAAATTAATGCCGTACTCGGATGTTTTTTGCTCAAACTTGCAGAATAAGTTAATTATGATTAGTCACAAGATTATCCAAATTGGGCATAAAATCATCTAAATTGGGCATAAAATCACCCAAAGTTGAGCAGACACAAAATTACTGTCAGGTAGGGCAATTTTTCCATGTAATATATTGTACTGTGTGTATTATAATCTGTGCGGGCGTTTGTGTGTGCGGTACCGGACGTGGGTGAGGGTGAGTGTGAGGTGAGGTGCGTGAGAGTGTGAGGTGCGTAATGCTGTGATTGTGTGTATGTACCATGGTGTACTTACCTTCATCTGACCTGGGACTCGTTTCATGCCACTTGTGAATTCTGCATGGATGTTCTTCTTGCTGTGTGAGTTTAAAGTGCCGAGAGGTTTTGAGATTTATTAGGGCATCAACCTTTATCAAACTAGCATAACTATTCGTTGTTAAAGTATAAAGACCTTTGAGAATAAAGATGGGGACAGGAAGTTGCTGAAAGAGGTAATGATCTGTAGAGGAGATCAGATAAGAAGTTCGCTGCATTGCCTGTTGACCTGTTTTTTGTAGGAGAAGAAAGGAACGACGAAGGAAAATAAGATAAGAAGAAGAAGGAGGAGAAGGAGAAGAAAAAGGAGAAAGAGAAGACGAAGATGACAATTCAAAGTATGTTAACCAGTCATGGCCAGGCTCCATCGTCGGTAAAGAGATACTTCTGATATTCAATAAAATTATCTTCCCAAAGAAGAAAACCTTTTTAAAATAACAATTGCCTGTCCCTATGCCTCCATAAAGTAGAGGGCAAGTCATTCGAACAATCCCTCGATATTTCAAAGCGAATTACTATAAAAAATCAGGTTTTTCAATATGGATGATGTGCCCTTTAAAGGCTACATGTAATGAAGGTGTGGAGACGAAATAAAATTCCTCTTTTGGAAAGTTATTGGTTTGTAAATTGGTTGGAAACAGGAAAAGAGTGCGTTTTCTAGCAAAGAATTCTTTAAAAAATGCAACGACTTCTGTCAAACCTTAAAGGAATTCTCACTTTGTTTCTTATTTCTAAAATATGAATATTAATAGAGAAATGCCACATGAGTTTTTGTGTGTGACAGGTGTTTCGTGGGTTTATTTTTTTCGTCATTTTCTCTTGCTGTGTCGTTGTCTGTCCTTTGTGGGTATGTTCGTATGTCCTAGTTCTTTTAACCACATGCATGCAGTTATTCATTGTTTTTCGCCCTTGAATAATTTCTATTTAAAATGAATCGACATGGTTTTTAACGTTTACGGCACTCACTTCACAAGAACTTACTTTTAAAGGAAGTTTTCACCTGTAACTCTTTTTCACTGTATATATTACAACATGCAAAAAGTTTAAAAGTAAATGTTAACGTGAAATTAAAGCACCCATGTACTAGAACTTTACATACCTGGGTATTTCTACCTTCTCCGTCTTCACATACGTTATGTGCCATCTCTTGTAAAAGTCCTACAAAAATAGAATGATAGGTTGGACATATGTTTGCATTCAAATAGATGGAGAACAAAAGACAGCAGTCGAGAAGTATGCTTTTTTTCAGAATTAATTAATCTCCTTTTTCCCATTTTATGATCTTAACTGGATAATTACTTATAGAGTAAGAGGAAGGACATATATTCACATTAAAATAACTGGAAAAGGGCCATCAGTCTAGTATAACGCCATTATCAAAATTACTCAATATCCTTGTTTCTCATATAATGATCTTATCTGGACAATTACTTTCTGAGTAATAAAAAAACATTGTTTATGTTTACGGATAAAGTACCTCTCAATATAAAGCTTCATTGAAAAACAAAAACGAACCAACCAAATAAATGTTTTAAGGCGTAAAATATTGCAACAGATGCAATAAAAATAAACTGTCAAGAGTTCCAAGAGGTTTCAGATGATTTAAATAATTTATCGTATTACATAGTTGGGATGTAATTCTTTACTTTAAAAAGTGATCAAAAGAGAAAAAGGTACGAGAAGGCTCTATGCACAAATTTATAGGTCGAAAGGGGAGGGGGTGTACTAAATTGAAAGGTGACGTCACAACCCACCTTGATGAGTATGCATTGTGCATCGTTGAGATTACACCTGTTGTAGAGGCAGTTGATCTTCCAGTTTGGTTTCCATCGGAAGAATAATAAGAGAAGACCACACGTCAAGATGCCAACTATACAGGACAGGACGGTCTTTGGGATGCTCCGCTTGTATCCATAGCACTCCTGCACACGGGAGAAAAAAAACACAGATATATTTGTTGGTCAGACACTACTTTTGAAATCCGATTAAAGGTAAATACAGAGAATAACGCATAGTGAAGATTATACAAATAATACACAGCAGTGAGGGCATTAGTAAGAATTACCCACACAAGGTATCTTTGGAATAGTCTAACACGCCCGAGGCGATAGCCGGGGGTGTTTGGGATGTTTCGAAGGTACCGAGTGTGGGTGATTTTACTAATGCCCGAACAAAATGATGTGTTATTTGTTTTATAAGATGACGTTTTATTTGTTTAATAAAATTATGTTTTATGACATGATTTTTACTAATGACCGGTCATTATTATTTACTAATGACCGGGCATTAATAATTTTACGTGTTAGGCAAAATAAATGCCTGGTCGCAAAACACGGAATAACGCACAGTGAATATAGCGCCATGACCGTTTAATTTGTGACATTGTGTACAAAGGTATGGGGAAAATCTTCCACAGTCAACCTGCTAATTACGAATTCCTGTAGATGCATCCATTTAATATGTTTGCTATTTGGAAGGTATTTTTACATGAGTAAATCTTCAGTGATATGAAGATGATTGACCTAAAGAATTCAAATTTTTAAAAATGTAGCGACATTTTGTTGACTTTTTGCTAATGCCTTTTTACATACTGCCTCTAGGGCTGTATATTCACTGCACGTTATTCCCTGTTTTCCAAGTGTTTGTCAACTCGACTGTTTGTACTGAAATGTGAAGATAATACATGCACGTTTGCAGTGAACAAACATGGCTCGTTGCTGTTCATTTATTCTTTAATGGCGCTTGTCTTAAATTAGTGAACGCTTACGCCATTAACGATCCTGCATTTCAAGACTTTCTTTGAAAGAGGTAACTACCGTCATGTTTCATAATTTCAATTATAGAACATAAATAAGCTATCCACTGAGTGGATGGATGATCTTTTCTGCGGTAATATGATACGATAAAAAGTATAGCATGGTCAAGACGATGTCATCATGATTGCACTCTAGGGGCAACTCTTGACCAGCGACATCATGAATGGCGATATATCAAATAACACGTCCAATGACCCAATCATTTTCTACAACAATACAGATACCGATCTTTCTGCGGGACCTGCCAATATAAGAGTTACTGCAGCATTGCTAGGCTAGATACACCTGGGTCGAGACCGACAAAATAAATATGGCAGGTGTATCTTGCTTACGAAGGATGAAATTACCGAGCACAGAGCCGAATCCAGGACCTGGGACCTGTTTCACACAGCCTTTTTTCAATGAAAAATGATAAAAACCAGTGACAAATCTGTTGATAACCAATCAGAAGCAAGGATTTCAGTAGCTTATAACAAAAACTGTAATTTGTCACTGATGACAAGTTTTGTGAAACGCCCCCCCCCCCCCCCCGCTGGTGTCGATAAGAACTAGGTAATCTAAAATCATGAATTATAAGTCTTCGGTTCGGTATGATGATGTTCTTATTGATCACATGACCTTCATCAAAGACGAAAATATACGGTCTTGCAACCAAAATCATGTTCCCAATCATTTCATTCTCTCTCGATATCAAAAGCTTGAAACAGCCTATCGAAGACGCAAAAAAAAGATCGCTCGAGAACTTTTGTTAATCAGGAGTGGCCCTTGCAGTCACACCACCGAGTCGAGCAGGTATGTTCTCCTGAGAGGGCGGCTACCTATATAGCAAGCTATCACAGTGCTCTTCACGGCTCATTCAGTAAGCAGGTGTCACTCCGGAATTGTAGTGGGTAAATAATGACCCCCTCACGTCGCATCCGACATCTACCGTTTCTTTCGAAGATAATCGATTTTTACCCTCTTATTATCTTTCGACCCCATCTCAACCAGTCATCCTAGCTCAAGGTCTGTTTCCACTGGTATAACATTTGTAAGACGGCATAGATTCCCTTATCTAATCCCCATTTTATAACCCTTTTCTTGTGTGTGATATGCATTTCTAAAGTCGAAATGTATAGCGCTCGTTGAAAAGAAATGAAATGCAGTAAGAATTTTTATTGAGCCGTGTCTGAATCATGAAAATCTCCCAACGCTTCCGATTCTACTATTTTATATTTGACTTTTTTACAAAAGTATCCGATCGGATTAGACCAGACCTGGCTTTTAACAATTGTATTTTTCGATTAAATATATTTCTCTACAGCTTCACATAATTATAACAGTACGTTATATTACGATACAGCCAAATAGTCTCAAATGCTTTAAGAACTCAACAGAGTCGGATTGACCAGATAATTTAATGTCTATAATGGTAAGAAGCTGACATATAACTTACAATTCAAGCGCCACAAAAATCCTCTTCAAGAGATATCATTGACAAATTTGTGGAAGTGATCTACTGGAATCGAAAAACCAGCACCATGTTTAATGTGTCATTGAGAACATTCTAGTTGGTCTATCTTACTATCAATTATGTATATTTTGTTTCTAAAAAAAGATGAAAGCGATCGAAGAACTGGTTTTAAGAAAGAAAAATCTATATTGTCTCTCTGTTTAACATACATCCGCCATGTCTCTGAACATTATCTGATCTCCTACTGGACTTCATCAAGTTACTTGTGGCTAGGCATAATTAGAAAGCTTTATCAGGGAAGTTATTCTGAGCGATGGGGCGAAACGAGCCCGAAGCCGATCATACACGAGGGAGTCAAGGGACTATTAAACAAATCTACGTCATTGCTACAGGGTCGAAAAGAGACTAACGGCATCCGAGTGGAACTTCAAAGAAAAGACAAACTTCATCTATTACTATTACAATCTTTTTGTGGGTAAACGAATGCCGGGAATTTCGTTATGGGTCATTTTTTTTTTTTTTTTTTTTTTTACTGTTGCGCAAGCCTTCATTGAAAGGTAAAAATGGAAAGAACAAAATTATTTTGTATTAGTGTTTTAAGGTGTTTTTAATCAGCTGGGAATTCTTACGTCATTAAGTGACTGAAACTATGATATAAACATTCCAGCTAGTAAAATATTGCAGTTTATTGCAGTATCCATATGAGAGGAAATTCCTAATTGGCATTGAATCGCTTTGTAGATAGGTCAATATATAGATTATAGTACAAAATAATGGATTTAATATTGAGTATCTAATAAAATAAACACCTTTGCACTTGACGAGTTCTGGTATGAACATGAACCTTTGCAAAGCTTAATAACATAATGTTCAGGGGGAAAACATTTGTTTACCCTCTGGCATTTGTTTTTCTAGGCCTCGCAACTTGAACAACTTGAACGCACTCAGGCACTTCTCTCCAATCCGTCGCAAAAGTCATGTACTTTCAGAGTACGGATCATTCACAGAGGCGGGAAGGCGTATTTTGATATCCACCATATTGAAAAAGTATGCTTAAAACTAGTCAGGCGTGACACTTATCGATCAGTCTAAGGTGCTAATCGATCGATGATACCTACTGGAGCAAAACTCAGAGATTATCGTCTGCATCGTACCATGATTAAGACTGTAGGGGAATGAAGGTTAATACAAAGACGTTGAAGTAATTTGGATGTCCTACGTCCATGAGGGATAGGTATTGAAATTTGCCAACTCTGGAAGCGTTACTTTGTGAAGCTGGCTTTAGGCAAAGTCGTAATTGGGAGGGGCGAACGGTGCCTCGGCCTCACCGGTTTTCTGAGCACCTTAATGTCCGTCTGCACTAGTTTGGCCAGGGGGATTAGACCTCCCTGCAAGATTATTTGACAGGTGGTTATCTCATCAAATCAGCTCTCAATTAACATAAGAAAAAGGGGATCATAGGGAACCAACTGGCACCGATTAGGCATTGTTTGTTTTATAGAGGGCGCACGTAGCTATAAGTAGTGCAGTGGGGCTTTAAAATCTCGTAGAAAAAGATGCAGAGTGGTCCCTTCTCAATTCTTTCTCGTGATCCTCTGGGCAAACTTACATGTTATACGTGTTATTAGAAAGACTGCATTTATTGATGAGGTTATGGCCTCTTGCCACTTTAAATAACGTTTCCACAGAGACTCCGATTCCGATGAAAGACCTCCTTATTTGAGCAGTTAGGATTTCACCAAATAATCTATGTACTGAATCTTGAATAAAATAAGAACTCATAGATCTTAGGTTCACCATCAAAGACCGTGGCTGTTTTCTTAATACTGTTTTAATCGCTATATGCACAATTGAGGGGGAGAGTCAAGTAATATCTGTTTTTGATATGAAGATAGTTATGCTGCAAACAATACGGGCAGCATTGAAATAAAACAAATCTCAGAAGTTCTTTCAACATTTACTTTTGGGAAATGTGTTCTTAGTGCCCTTATGACGTGTCCTTTCTAAAGTTCAAGGGATGTTGAATGAAGCAGCAGGGATAATGATATGATACATATCTTTGACTGCCGATTTTTACAAAGTTCTTGACATCATGACTATAAAAACACACACCTTTGGACAGTACATCCGCATTTTAGCTTCTGGCACACATCAATCCAAAATCTGCATTCTCAACAATTTAATTTTGTGACTCTACCACCTCGAAACCTCCTCAATGATAACACCCGCATTCAAGTTCAACTCAGAAACCCATATCAATTTCCTTTGGGCGACCTTTGCGATCAATATAGCAGGACCCGTGTCATATCTGTTTCGATTTATCCCTAAAGCCCGTTTACCTCCAAATGACTTGTCTTCCTCAACTCTCTCCCGAAACATAATCATATTGGAAATGTAATAAAGAGACTGGAATTCGCCCTCGGGACAGCCTCTGGAATATTGAAGTCCAGGGTGCATGAGAATTTCTGCCGCTCGTCACTGAGAAACCTCAAGTTACATGCTTGTTTCTAACATTCCAAAGGGAATAAAGTAGTAATCGTATTTCATGTGTACATTATGCCTGCTACTTATCAACGAAAAAATCCATGAAAAACCTGACATTATCAAAACAAACTCCTACTAAAAATAGGTTTCATGAGTACAATCCATCAATGGAATTCCAAAGAAAAGTCCATAAGTTCGTTTATGAAATGATTCGATGTACTTTTTGTTCTTGTAAAAGCCCACAGGCAAAGATTATGCAGGATAGGTAACCTAACACATTTCAATGACATACCCCTGCTGGAAAGAACACACTCATTCACACTCATTCACAATGTGAAACACAGTGTGAAAACACAATTCACACTGTGAACAGAGTGTTTTCACAGTGTGGACACCGTCACAATGTGGTAAACCATACAGTGTTCACATTGTGAAATTCGATTTCACAGTGTGAATGTGCCCGCTTACAATGTGAAAATGATTTCATAGTGTGGCCAAACTGTGAAAAATATTCCACATTGTGAAAAACGGATTTTCACAGTGTAAATATGTTACGACATACATTTCACATTGTGAACAGTAAATGTGGCTACTATATGAAAACACTTCACAGGGTGAAAATTGAATTTGCATTATGGCCGCCCTATGAAATATTTCACAATATGAACTATAAAATTCACAGTGTGACCGCTCAGTGAAAAAAACCTCAAAATTTCCAAGCGTGATCCTCTACATAATTAAGACTGATTTTGGCTCAACTATTGATATACAAGGCTCTATTTGCATAATATTTAGGAGCACTGATAATGAAGGCCTGGTCTAATCTGATAAAGAAATTGTTTACTTAGAACGACCACCTGTGATGCCTATGTATAAAGTATTTCTCCTGTTCAGTTTTCATGAGAAATGTTCGTCCCCCCTTTAAACATAACCCAGGACACAGAACAGTCCCTCCAATTATGAAAAATAGAACATTTGCAACTTTGAAAAATAGATTTTTACTAATCAATAGTAATTCATCAATTACAACTATTATAGTAATACACTTTCAACGTATGTAAGACCTTTACTCGCTTCAGTGCCAACGAATTAAGTTCTTGATAGTTTATACATTTGTAGATCAGAGGTGCCGTGGTCTAGAAGACCGTCGCCGGATCGCAAATCAAATGGTCCAGGGTACGAGTCCCAGCAGCGGCAAGCTGGGGGCTTGTAGCACCTCAAAAATCCACTGAAATGATGATGTGCGCGGTATGTATATATATGTCTAATAGCCCTCACTACTTTTGTTGCTGATGTTATACTTATACTTATTATCATTTATTAGTTTTATTCCTATTTTTATCATTACAATCATTAGCATTATTATTATTTTTAATTAATATAATTATTATCGGTAATATTAATTTTCTATTATTATTATCATTATTATCGTTATTACCATTACCATCATCAATATCATCACCATTATAATTATTATCATCATCATCATCATCATCATTGTATTACTTACCAATTCATCTTCTGAGCCTTCGTTTAGTATTGCCTTCTCCTGCAGTACAGAGTGCATGCTGCAAGGGAAAACAAACAAAACTATCTTCATTAGACAAAATTCCGGGAAATCGAAATCAAATGCAAATTATCGGGAATTAAAGATTGACCAATTATTATGGCAAATATTTTTCAAAGAATCCATTGTAGTTACATTTCAAATGATGATTGCATTATGTAAAGAAAACTTGTTGATTGTGATGTGTAAAATTACTGTAAGGACCACATACTTCAATATAAGGAGCGCTAGACTATTGCACGTGCCCTCACGTGGATCTCTTAACAGTCTTTGAGATCATGTTCAATGACCTAAAGTGAAAAGGATACCTCTAAGCAAGTCTTGTCTTTTTACATTGTTATTGCTCATTTTGTATAATCGTATATTTTTTTGTCATGCTATTGGTAATGTGATTTTTGGCCAATAATGAGTGTGTGAAATTATAATAATGGTTATTGGAAAGTGTGTAGGGAGGAGAGGGGGGGGGGGGCATTGGGAAATGTAAATTACTTAATGCTGAAATTGTTTTCGCAATAAATATAACCCAGATGTAACTCAAGGTGGGAATCCATCAAAAGACGAGGAGATCTCTATCGCAATCTATAGATTTACTAGACATGAGACTTAATGGAAAGTAGCTCTGGGCACCTTTCCTCTTTGATTTATACGCAAGTATCAATTTAAAAAATATGGCTGTGCATGGTAAACCAGGGAGTTGTGACTCCCTTGGTAAACCAAGATATCATTACAATAGAGATGACTACTGCTTTTCCCGTCATTGATGATACAGCGAAGTCGTAATTATTATTATCTTGCTTTTAAAGAAAACAATTACACCTGAGACCACAAATGTTTAAGTTCTTAACCGGGGCATGTTATTAGTAGAAGGTGCTGTCGTTTCCCACCGGGTAAGACGAGCGCGTCAAATGCGTCTTGGGTTTCCATCTTTGCACAATAAATCATGGTCACTCAGGTCCATGCTCAGATACAGTGTAGGTCAAGATAGGATGTCCGTACTTCCTTTCGCCCAGTTGTCCGCATTCCGTTACAGAAATGCACATCTTTGCTCCGGTGAAAGTAACTCCGGGAAGGTGTTGGAGCTTCCCGGAGTTACGGGGAAAGTAGCTTTTGTACTCAGACTTCATTTCAATAAGACTCAACCATGGACTGAGCACTATTCCTAACCCTAAATATACTGTCAACCCCTATCGCAGCCAGAACAGAACCCTACATCTTTGTTGAAAATGAAGCCTAGAGAAATTGTCGCCAGAGCCCCTCGCTGGAGTCACTTTCTTCCAGTAACGAAAATACAAAACATAACTGAAGAAATAAGAAGGACATGGTGGCAACACACTTTAAAGATCCAGTCCAAGGCAGTTATACCCTTTGGTTATAAGTTGGTTACAAAATGACGTCAATTTTTTTAAAGAGTTGATATTGGAATGAATTTTAAAATTTCCTTGCAATTTGCATGGTTTCACTTTACTTGCTCTACACGTTGTCATAACTACCACAACGCTACATAGGCCTTAAGATGACCTTGGCATTGGCAGAGTGCAAACTAATAATCATAAAATCATCTCCCTCACAGGAATGCCCACATTGCGTTATATTTTTACAACGCTGACATGATACAAGTTCCAGTTTAATTTGTATGACTTTCTGGCAGGGAGGGATGCATGTATATGAAGATCTATTCTAAAGTTCATGTATACATCGAACAGAGGTGAATAAATTCACCAATATTAAGATGACCTTGACGGCATTTAATGGTTCTTTATTGTCAGTTACTTTGGTAACATAACGACTCCCCTCCTAGCAACTAAATTGAATTATTCAATGTACCTGCAATTTATTATTTGCTCTACCTAGTTCCACATTGCATTTTGACGCCATCGAATATCATCGTCATGTCCTTCCAAACGGTATCTAGCGGTCAAGTTTTGGAATCTATATTTACCTAAATTAAGACTTGTAAATAAATTTATTCTGACTTCATAGTTGAATTTACTTTCAATTTGATCATGGCTCGGTTGAAGGGGCGAAGGTCTCGTAATATGGATGTCTTTGGTATTAAACCAAGTGGGTTTCAATCCACAAATTAAAAAGGCCTCTGATGAAAATGAAATCTGTAATTCAACACTCTTTCATTCGTCTATTTAAATTTAAATAATCATTGACATTAAGCGTGAACAGTGTCATTTTATACAAAATGGTAAAGTGTTAACATTATACGTGTATTTCCTATCTCGAAAAAGGTGTGAATAAGAATATGTGTTGATTTGAGTATTCTGTGTGTGTCAAACTTCTATATTTCTATGTGTGGGAAAAGCAATCGCGAATCTCCAAACCTATGTGTGAAAAATTGTAAATACAATGTCGAATCTTCGAACTTGAAACCTAAACAGAACATGGGTCACTTTAGGTAGGAACCATGTTTTACAACATAATTCGTTCGAGATGGCACCCTTCTTTTATATACAATGTCTATGAAGTCAAGACTAAGATGGTGGTATCTAGTACAGGTGAAACGCCGGAGGTAAATTGCTCCGCCAGGCGTTGACCAGGGGAAAGTTGAGACTCGGGGTGGAGCCGAGTTAGCTGCATCCAACAAAGCGTAGTCTAATACAAATAGAGACGGAGCCTGGGAATCAGCAAATTGAGATAGAAGGAGGAAGAGGAGCAGGTGGAAAATAGTAACATATTCGATGGAGCAGAAAGCAGAGAAATGGGAGAGGAATACAATGAGTAACAGACATCATTAGATGTGGGAAAATTGCATGTGATTCAAATTATTATGTACCAAGCTTACGGATATTAAAAACTACTTTGATAGGTGAAAGGAAGAGTCTTTTGGAGAGTCTTTTTTTGTTAGAAGGTAAATAAGGAGACATGAAACAGTACGATATTCTTGATAAGGAAACATATAAATGATTGTGGTACATAATAGAAACAAGCTTTGACGGTATTTTGGGTTTGAATGAGGTCGATAAAGAACTTGTGGATTAGCAAAGATGTGAACAGCCGTCAGCCAGACATAAACATTGATTTTCATTAATAAGTAATCGGAAAAGAAGCAAAATGTAGAAAGAAAGAAAAGAAAAAGATGTGGTTTAAGAGAAAGGGCGGGGATTGAACATCCTAGATTTTTTGTTGCTTATTAGACGTTTAGCAAAATATGATCATATACAGCAGATAGGCTATATCACAGAAACTAAGCCCTGACTTTCACCATAAACAGGACTACAGAGAGCCTTATACCCTTTGCACACGATGTGGCCTGGGTCTGACGTAGAACTACGTCGGTGAGTGGCGCCGCGTTTAAGGCGCCACGAGTGAAGGCAAAACGAAAGGTGTACGCCTTGCTGTGAATTATATCTTTTGCACTAAATGCCCACACAGGCTCAATTTCGTTTACAGGCACAAACTCTTATCAGTCGTAAAGTGTAACAGAGTGTCTGATCTAAGAGACTTTATCGACTGCATGGTCTAGTGCTCCCATTAGGCTCTGTACCAGACAGCCAGAGAATGAAAGAGCTAGGCTTCTGCTCAGGACTTTATGGAATTGTGTCTTAGTGTCAAATCAGAGCCTGTACCTATAGACTAAGCTCGATTAGCGCAGGAAATGACGCAATCGAAACGAAGCCTCGTGCGCAAATAGAAATAGAGGTTTAAAGCCCCACTGCACTACTTATAGTTACTTGCGCCCTCTATATAGCAAACAATGCCTAATCGGTGCATGTTGGTCCCTCATGATCCTCTTTTTCTTATGTTAATTGAGAGCTGATTTGATGAGACAACCACCTGTCAGTGACCTTGCAGGGAGGTCTAATCCCCCTTGGCCAAACTAGTGCAGACGGGCTTTAAGTCTGAAGAGCGCAAAGAAATGATAGAGGAGGCATAATGGATGTTGTAAAAGAAGGCTAAGTATGAAAGGAAAAGGCAGGTGGTAAAGTAAAACTGTGTCCAGTCAGCTGGATGGAATGAACCTGGCGGATAGAACGGAGCAGTTCAATTCCCCCAGCATCGTAAAAGTATGTAGTATTGGTATTCACGAAGGGAGAATATTATGCAAGATGTTTGAGTGCATGTTGCAATTCGGAATGACTTGCATTGACAGTTAGCAGACATGAGAGTCTAATTCAAACTGATTATAAACACAGTACAGCATCCTGTCTTAAAAGTACAACACGCTTTCGTATAAATTAAACAACGGCTAATAAAGACTCCAGTGAGAAGGATACATAATGTTTGCTCATGAATAATATTCACCCCACTGACAATATTTTTAGGAAGTAATATATTGCCCACATCGCCAGAGAAATAAACACACAACACCAAATGATTCTCAAAACTATCGATATCCAACCATTTTCATAAATCACGACAGATCAAGAACAATAGCACATACGTAATGAAGACACAACAAAACATCTTGTTTTCAGCTACATCAGGGTGGAATATTCACGTATTTCAAGCCAAATTGATGCCAATTTACGGAGCGCTGACATTTGAAAAAAAGTTCAACATGCTTTACCAAAACACATTTTCCTCTAATTACCTATAATGGTTCCAAATTTTCCACCGTTCATATTATGATTGGTTCTGAAATACGTCACTCAATGCAATCTGCACTTCGTCTGTCTACAGAGTTTACCATAATTGATAGATACGGAATTAAAGATCGGGATTAACTGACGGCAGTCCTTGATTAACTCCAAATTCAAACAATTATTTCGCAGAGAAATTTTCATATGGACTGAGCTTTCCCCCACGTTACAATAATCTAAGCACGCGTCATATCTAGTGTATGTTAGTATATCATGAATAGTATGGCTTTTATTAGACTTCGGGTGGTTTATATCTCAAGGATATCTGTAATCTTTGATTTTACTGTCCTTAAAACGTAAAAAAAAAACACTTCTAAATTTAACACTCCATGGAATTTTATCACACTATAGATATTAACAAAAACGTGTCTGTTTAGTTTTTTTTTGGTTATTACTGTTAGGTAATTAATGA